TAACAGTGATGACATGGGCTGTTGTGGCTGATACTCCTGCTTCCCATCTGAGTTTTATGTTGGTGTTGACTCAGGTTCATCACAGGGGGCTTAACTTGAAACATGTTTATCCATAACCTTCACCTTGACATCCCCTTAAACCAGCAAATCTATAACTGTAACACATTGCATCAATGTGACAGATGGGAACACACTACAACATTGTGACAGATGGTATCACATTACAACATTGTGACAGATGGGATCACACTACAACATTGTGACAGATGGGATCACATTACAACATTGTTACAACATTACAACATGACAGATGGGAACACATTACAACATTGTGACAGATGGGAACACATTACAACATTGTGACAGATGGGATCACACTACAACATTGTGACAGATGGGAGCATGTTACAACATTGTGACAGATGGGAACACATTACAACATTGTGACAGATGGGAACACACTACAACATTGTGACAGATGGGATCACATTACAACATTGTGACAGATGGGAGCATGTTACAACATTGTGACAGATGGGAACACATTACAACATTGTGACAGATGGGAACACACATTACAACATTGTGACAGATGGGAACACATTACAACATTGTGACAGATGGGAACACACTACAACATTGTGACAGATGGGAACACACTACAACATTGTGACAGATGGGAACACACTACAACATTGTGACAGATGGGAACACATTACAACATTGTGACAGATGGGAACACATTACAACATTGTGACAGATGGAACACATTACAACATTGTGACAGATGGGAACACATTACAACATTGTGACAGATGGGAACATGTTACAACATTGTGACAGATAGGAACACAATACAACATTGTGACAGATGGGAACACATTACAACATTGTGACAGATGGGAACACATTACATCATTGTGACAGATGGGAACACATTACAACATTGTGACAGATGGGAACACATTACAACATTGTGACAGATGGGTGACAGACAGATGGGAACACAACACATTGTTACAACATTGTGACAGATGGGAACACATTACAACATTGTGACAGATGGATGGAAACACACAGATACAACATTGTGACAGATGGGAACACATTACAACATTGTGACAGATGGGAACACATTACAACATTGTGACAGATGGGAACACATTACAACATTGTGACAGATGGGAACACATTACAACATTGTGACAGATGGGAACACACTACAACATTGTGACAGATGGGAACACATTACAACATTGTGACAGATGGGAACACATTACAACATTGTGACAGATGGAACACATTACAACATTGTGACAACATTACAACATTGTGACAGATGGGAACACATTACAACATTGTGACAGATGGGAACACATTACAACATTGTGACAGATGGGAACACACTACAACATTGTGACAGATGGGAACACATTACAACATTGTGACAGATGGGAACACATTACAACATTGTGACAGATACAACATTGTGACAGATGGGAACACACTACAACATTGTGACAGATGGGAACACATTACAACATTGTGACAGATGGGAACACATTACAACATTGTGACAGATGGGAACACATTACAACATTGTGACAGATGGGAACACATTACAACATTGTGACAGATGGGAACACATTACAACATTGTGACAGATGGAACACATTACAACATTGTGACAGATGGGAACACACACATTTACAACATTGTGACAGATGGGAACACATTACAACATTGTGACAGATGGGAACACATTACAACATTGTGACAGATGGGAACACATTTACAACATTGTGACAGATGGGAACACATTACAACATTGTGACAGATGGGAACACATTACAACATTGTGACAGATGGGAACACATTACAACATTGTGACAGATGGGGGAACACATGACAGATGGGAACAACATTGACAGATGACAGATGGATGACACACATTACAACATTGTGACAGATGGGAACACACAGATACAACATTGTGACAGATGGGAACACATTACAACATTGTGACAGATGGGAACACATTACTAACATTGTGACAGATGGGAACACGTTACAACATTGTGACAGATGGGAACACACATTACAACATTGTGACAGATGGGAACACTACAACAACATTGTGACAGATGGGAACACATTACAACATTGTGACAGATGGGAACACACTACAACATTACAACATTGTGACAGATGGGAACACATTACAACAACACTACAACATTGTGACAGATGGGAACACATTACAACATTGTGACAGATGGGAACACACTACAACATTGTGACAGATGGGAACACATTACAACATTGTGACAGATGGGAACACACTACAACATTGTGACAGATGGGAACACATTACAACATTGTGACAGATGGGAACACATTACAACATTGTGACAGATGGGAACACATTACAACATTGTGACAGATGGGAACACATTACAACATTGTGACAGATGGGAACACATTACAACATTGTGACAGATGGGAACACATTACAACATTGTGACAGATGGGAACACATTACAACATTGTGACAGATGGGAACACTACAACATTGTGACAGATGGGAACACATTACAACATTGTGACAGATGGGGAACACAACATTACAACATTGTGACAGATGGGAACACATTACAACATTGTGACAGATGGGAACACATTACAACATTGTGACAGATGGGAACACATTACAACATTGTGACAGATGGGAACACATTACAACATTGTGACAGATGGGAACACATTACAACATTGTGACAGATGGGAACACATTACAACATTGTGACAGATGGGAACACATTACAACATTGTGACAGATGGGAACACATTACAACATTGTGACAGATGGGAACACCCATTCAACATTGTGACAGATGGGAACACACTACAACATTGTGACAGATGGGAACACATTACAACATTGTGACAGATGGGGAACACACTACAACATTGTGACAGATGGGAACACACATTACAACATTGTGACAGATGGGAACACATTACAACATTGTGACAGATGGGAACACATTACAACATTGTGACAACATTGTGACATTGTGACAGATGGGACACATTACAACATTGTGACAGATGGGAACACATTTACAACATTGTGACAGATGGGAACACACTACAACATTGTGACAGATGGGAACACACTACAACATTGTGACAGATGGGAACACACTACAACATTGTGACAGATGGGGAACACATTACAACATTGTGACAGATGGGAACACATTGTGACAACATTGTGACAGATGGGAACACACTACAACATTGTGACAGATGGGAACACACTACAACATTGTGACAGATGGGAACACATTACAACATTGTGACAGATGGGAACACACTACAACATTGTGACAGATGGGAACACACTACAACATTGTGACAGATGGGAACACACTACAACATTGTGACAGATGGGAACACACTACAACATTGTGACAGATGGGAACACACTACAACATTGTGACAGATGGGAACACACTACAACATTGTGACAGATGGGAACACATTACAACATTGTGACAGATGGGAACACACTACAACATTGTGACAGATGGAACACACATTTACAACATTGTGACAGATGGGAACACACTACAACATTGACAGATGACAGATGTGACAGATGGGAACACACTACAACATTGTGACAGATGAGACACACTACAACATTGTGACAGATGGGAACACACTACAACATTGTGACAGATGGGAACACACTACAACATTGTGACAGATGGGAACACACTACAACATTGTGACAGATGGGAACACACTACAACATTGTGACAGATGGGAACACACTACAACATTGTGACAGATGGGAACACACTACAACATTGTGACAGATGGGAACACACTACAACATTGTGACAGATGGGAACACACTACAACATTGTGACAGATGGGAACACACTACAACATTGTGACAGATGGGAACACACTATAACACTCTGTTTATTGTTGGGCAGGTGGTGTATATTTTCTTGTGAGGAATTCAAAGAGTTGTTTGAAAACTTGTATAAATGTTTTGACTTTCTGCCATGTGTTTATGCAATTAGAAACAATATGCTCTTGTGTTTCCATGGCAACCTTTATGGTATATTTTTGTAACTTTGTCAGCAAATCACAAGATGATATCTGTTCTGGCTTCTTCCCCCTCCTGGTTTAGGGGAAATATTGACTTAGCAACAAAAGTCTTCACACTTCCCTAATAGCAGACCTTCTTTCGTTTCCATGGCAACCTAATAATAAAACTATTCCTCTTGATGTTGGTAGTTTCAGTCTTGTCTGTTGGTGGTGTAAGGATCAAATTATTAGTGATGATTGATGGAACACCTAGGAGTACTGATGAAGTTTAATTGTGTAGTGAAAACAATGGCATTGCTGTTGAAAACATTACAGTTGGTAGATTGTTCTTTGTAAAGCGAAATATTCTAAGATAAGTAAACCAAAGAATAGGTCAGTTGTACACTTCTATGCATTTAATATAGACCATATTGTGCTGGCTATGTAGACAATATTGTGTTGGCTATGTAGACAATCTTTTGTTGGCAGTGTTGACAATATTATGTCAGCTGTGAGTTGACAATATTGAGTTAGCTATGTAGACAATATTGTGTTGGCTATGTAGACAATAATGAGTTAACTATGGAGACAATATTGAGTTAGCTATGTACACAATATTGTGTAGGCTATGTTGACAATATTAAGTTGGCTATGTAGACAATATTGTGATGGTTGTGTAGACAATATTGTGTGGTCTGTGTTAACAATATTGTGTGGTCTGTGTTAACAATATTGTGTGGTCTGTGTTAACAATATTGTGTGGTCTGTGTTAACAATATTGTGATGGTTGTGTTAACAATATTGTGATGGTTGTGTTAACAATATTGTGATGGTTGTGTAGACAATATTGTGTTGGCTGTGTTGACAATATTGTGTGGTCTGTGTTGTTTCAGGTCATCCATGTTCGTGTCGATTCCAAGGACCTGGCATTTGTCATCTTCTGCTCTCAACAAACTCATGAAGGGGTCAAGCTCACCAACTGCACCGCCACAGTCTTCCGGCTCAGAGGAACAGTAAGTATATGCAACCCCCACAGTCTCTGGGCTCTGAGGAACAGGAAGTATATGCAACCCCCACAGTCTCTGGGCTCTGAGGAACAGGAAGTATATGCAACCCCCACAGTCTCTGGGCTCTGAGGAACAGTAAGTATATGCATCCCCAACAGTCTCTGGGCTCTGAGGAACAGTAAGTATATGCAACCCCCACAGTCTCTGGGCTCTGAGGAACAGTAAGTATATGCAACCCCCACAGTCTCTGGGCTCTGAGGAACAGTAAGTATATGCATCCCCCACAGTCTCTGGGCTCTGAGGAACAGTAAGTATATGCAACCCCCACAGTCTCTGGGCTCTGAGGAACAGTAAGTATATGCAATCCCCACAGTCTCTGGGCTCTGAGGAACAGTAAGTATATGCAACCCCACAGTCTCTGGGCTCTGAGGAACAGTAAGAAATGCATCCCCTACAGTCTCTGGGCTCTGAGGAACAGTAAGTATATGCAACCCCCACAGTCTCTGGGCTCTGAGGAACAGTAAGTATATGCAACTCCCACAGTCTCTGGGCTCTGAGGAACAGTAAGTATATGCAACTCCCACAGTCTCTGGGCTCTGAGGAACAGTAAGAAATGCATCCCCACAGTCTCTGGGCTCTGAGGAACAGTAAGTATATGCAACCCCACAGTCTCTGGGCTCTGAGGGAACAGTAAGTATATGCAACTCCCACAGTCTCTGGGCTCTGAGGAACAGTAAGAAATGCATCCCCTACAGTCTCTGGGCTCTGAGGAACAGTAAGTATATGCAACCCCCACAGTCTCTGGGCTCTGAGGAACAGTAAGTATATGCAACTCCCACAGTCTCTGGGCTCTGAGGAACAGTAAGTATATGCAACCCCACAGTCTCTGGGCTCTGAGGAACAGTAAGTATATGCAATCCCCACAGTCTCTGGGCTCTGAGGAACAGTAAGTATATGCAACCCCACAGTCTCTGGGCTCTGAGGAACAGTAAGTATATGCAACCCCCACAGTCTCTGGGCTCTGAGGAACAGTAAGTATATGCAACCCCCACAGTCTCTGGGCTCTGAGGAACAGTAAGTATATGCAACCCCCACAGTCTCTGGGCTCTGAGGAACAGTAAGTATATGCAACTCCCCACAGTCTCTGGGCTCTGAGGAACAGTAAGGCAACCCCCAGTGAGGAAATGTAAGTAGCCAGGAGACAGGGGCGGACAATAGGTATTATGTCTTTCTTGTCATCTTGACTCATATTGTGTCATCGCAACGCATCGGAATGGTAAACTCTTGTGTATTCATGCAGTAGTTTGCAGACTTCTTTGCTTCTGCTGATAAAACTCCTCAACAGGGCTCTGAGGAACAGTAAGTATATGCAACCCCCACAGTCTTTGGGCTCTGAGGAACAGTAAGTATATGCAACCCCCACAGTCTCTGGGCTCTGAGGAACAGTAAGAAATGCATCCCCTACAGTCTCTGGGCTCTGAGGAACAGTAAGTATATGCAACCCCCACAGTCTCTGGGCTCTGAGGAACAGTAAGTATATGCAACCCCCACAGTCTCTGGGCTCTGAGGAACAGTAAGTATATGCACCCCCACAGTCTCTGGGCTCTGAGGAACAGTAAGTATATGCAACCCCACAGTCTCTGGGCTCTGAGGAACAGTAAGTATATGCAACCCCACAGTCTCTGGGCTCTGAGGAACAGTAAGAAATGCATCCCCTACAGTCTCTGGGCTCTGAGGAACAGTAAGTATATGCAACCCCCACAGTCTCTGGGCTCTGAGGAACAGTAAGTATATGCAACCCCCACAGTCTCTGGGCTCTGAGGAACAGTAAGTATATGCAACCCCCACAGTCTCTGGGCTCTGAGGAACAGTAAGTATATGCAACCCCCACAGTCTCTGGGCTCTGAGGAACAGTAAGTATATGCAACCCCCACAGTCTCTGGGCTCTGAGGAACAGTAAGTATATGCAACCCCCACAGTCTCTGGGCTCTGAGGAACAGTAAGTATATGCAACCCCACAGTCTCTGGGCTCGAGGAAATGTAAGTAGCCAGGAGACAGGGGGCGGACAATAGGTATTATGTCTTTCTTGTCATCTTGACTCATATTGTGTCATCGCAACGCAGTGGAATGGTAAACTCTTGTGTATTCATGCAGTAGTTTGCAGACTTCTTTGCTTCTGCTGATAAAACTCCTCACTCATTCACTCACTGTCTGTCTCTGTGTTGCACAGCTGAAGGTTCAATCGTTCAGGGAAGCGGGAGACGTCAAGGTCAACGTTGCATTCGATGGGCGTCCTGACATCAAGGTCAATGTCAAACCTACCAACCCATATCAGGTAAGCAGACTCCAAGTGTACAACACATCAACCTCACACTTACATCCTCAAGTCAATGTCGGAACCACTGCAACTTGAGATAACCCGTCACTGATGGACATACTGGCCTGTCCTTGGTACTAGTTTCCACATAAAAGCTCAGATTATTCATCTCTTTTAGGAAAGGATATCAAGAAGATTCACGTGTTTGTTCATGTAGATAATATTTTCTTATCTTTAACTGAATCTTAACTGTAGAAATGTAGAATTTTACTGACTTGCTTTTACTAATATGAATTTCCACGGAACGCTGGATTAGCTAGGATTCTCTTCAGTATAAGACTTGATCATCTGTGTCTACTAACTTAGCTTTCATTTATGATGACCTATAGAGTGGACCTGTCACTGACCTGTAGAGTGGACCTCTTGTTGACCTGTAGAGTGGACCTATCACTGACCTGTAGAGTGGACCTGTCACTGACCTGTAGAGTGGACCTCTTGTTGACCTGTAGAGTGGACCTATCACTGACCTGTAGAGTGGACCTGTCACTGACCAGTAGAGTGGACCTATCATTGACCTGTAGAGTGGACCTGTCATTGACCTGTAGAGTGGACCTGTCATTGACCTGTAGAGTGGACCTCTCATTGACCTGTAGAGTGGACCTGTCATTGACCTGTAGAGTGGACCTGTCATTGACCTGTAGAGTGGACCTGTCATTGACCTGTAGAGTGGACCTCTTGTTGACCTGTAGAGTGGACCTATCATTGACCTGTAGAGTGGACCTGTCATTGACCTGTAGAGTGGACCTGTCATTGACCTGTAGAGTGGACCTCTTGTTGACCTGTAGAGTGGACCTATCATTGACCTGTAGAGTGGACCTGTCATTGACCTGTAGAGTGGACCTGTCATTGACCTGTAGAGTGGACCTTAGAGTTGACCTGTAGAGTGGACCTGTCATTGACCTGTAGAGTGGACCTGTCATTGACCTGTAGAGTGGACCTGTCATTGACCTGTAGAGTGGACCTGTCATTGACCTGTAGAGTGGACCTGTCATTGACCTGTAGAGTGGACCTGTCATTGACCTGTAGAGTGGACCTATCATTGACCTGTAGAGTGGACCTGTCATTGACCTGTAGAGTGGACCTGTCACTGACCTGTAGAGTGGACCTGTCATTGATCTTGACCTGTAGAGTGACCTATCATTGACCTGTAGGAGTGGACCGGTCATTGACCTGTAGAGTGGACCTGTCACTGACCTGTAGAGTGGACCTCTTGTTGACCTGTAGAGTGGACCTGTCATTGACCTGTAGAGTGGACCTGTCATTGACCTGTAAGAGTGGACCTGTCATTGACCTGTAGAGTGGACCTCTCATTGACCTGTAGAGTGGACCTGTCACTGACCTGTCATTGACCTAGAGAGTGGACCTATCATTGACCTGTAGAGTGGACCTGTCATTGACCTGTAGAGTGGACCTGTCATTGACCTGTAGAGTGGACCTGTCATTGACCTGTAGAGTGGATTGACCTGTAGAGTGGACCTGTCTGTACCTGTAGAGTGGACCTGTCATTGACCTGTAGAGTGGACCTCTGTATTGACCTGTAGAGTGGAGAGTGGACCTCATTGACCTGTAGAGTGGACCTGTCATTGACCTGTAGAGTGGACCTGTCATTGACCTGTAGAGTGGACCTGTCATTGACCTGTAGAGTGGACCTGTCATTGACCTGTAGAGTGGACCTGTTGACCTGTAGAGTGGACCTGTAGAGAATTGACCTGTAGAGTGGACCTGTCATTGACCTGTAGAGTGACGTGTCATTGACCTGTAGAGTGAACCTCTCATTGACCTGTAGAGTGGACCTGTCATTGACCTGTAGAGTGGACCTGTCATTGACCTGTAGAGTGGACCTGTCATTGACCTGTAGAGTGGACCTGTGAGAGACATGTAGAGTGGACCTGTCAGAGTGGACCTCTGACCTGTAGAGTGGACCTGTCATTGACCTGTAGAGTGGACCTGTCATTGACCTGTAGAGTGGACCTGTCATTGATATGTAGAGTGGACCTGTCATTGACCTGTAGAGTGGACTGTCAGAGCCTTCACCTGTCATTGATATGTAGAGTGGACCTGTCATTGATCTGTAGAGTGGAGCTGTCATTGACCTGTAGAGTGGACCTGTCATTGATCTGGAGAGTGGTCCTGTCATTGACCTGTGGAGTGGACCTGTAGAGTGGACCTGTCATTGACCTGTAGAGTGGACCTGTCATTGACCTGTAGAGTGGACCTGTAAAATGGATCTGTCATTGACCTGTAGAGTGGACCTGTAAAATGGATCTGTTATTGACCTGTGGAGTGGACCTGTCATTGATCTGTAGAGTGGACCTGTCATTGATAGGTAGAGTGGACCTGTCATTAACCTGTAGAGTGGACCTGTCATTGACCTGTAGAGTAGACCTGTCATTGACCTGTAGAGTGGACCTGTCATTGACCTGTAGAGTGGACCTGTCATTGACCTGTAGAGTGGACCTGTCATTGACCTGTAGAGTGGACCTGTAGAGTGGACCTGTCATTGACCTGTAGAGTGGACCTGTCATTGATATGTAGAGTGGACCTGTAGAGTGGACCTGTCATTGACCTGTAGAGTGGACCTGTAGAGTGGACCTGTCATTGACCTGTAGAGCGGACCTGTAGAGTGGACCTCTATGACCTGTAGAGCGGACCTGTAGAGTGGACCTCTATGACAGTCTGATGATGTGGCTGAAACATGCAGCATCATCTCACAATTCATGAATATTTTCATGATAAAAATTGATAATGAGGTCGGTAATGACAGGTCCTTGTAATATCATGTTTTTTGGTTGAGTTTCTAACACTGTGCTGTTTTTCCATGTTGGCAGGAGGAAGACGTAAGTCAATGTTTGCTGTGTGCCGTGTGATATCATGTTTGCCTCATGGTTCTGTCTCCTATCTTGTTCAGTACACACTGGTCTTGTTCTTAGTTCTATGTTATATGTCTTGTACAAATTATCAAATATGACCTGCTGCCTGTGTAAAACATTATACCCACTGATCTTGCTCTCATATTGTAATATGTTGTGTGATATAGTTATTGATAGCAGATACACAAGTTAATTCAAGATAATCTAAATTTTCATGATCTAAATGAGCAATTCATATAATGCGTTTGGGAGTTTCTGTTTGATATAATGTAGAATACCACCATCTCAATTATTCTACACACAAGGTGGACACACACCTTCTATAGCACCTGTTTGTCCTCCCCTTCTACACACAAGGTGGACACACATTCTATAGTTCCTGTTTGTCTTCTCCCTTCTACACTCAAGGTGGACACACACCTTCTATAGCACCTGTTTGTCCTCTCCCTTCTACACACAAGGTGGACACACACCTTCTATAGCACCTGTTTGTCTTCTCCCTTCTACACACAAGGTGGACAGACACCATCTATAGCTCCTGTTTGTCCTCTCCCTTCTACACACAAGGTGGACACACACATTCTATAGTTCCTGTTTGTCCTCTCCCTTCTACACACAAGGTGGACACACACCATCTATAGCACCTGTTTGTCCTTCCTCTTCTACACACAAGGTGGACACACACCATCTATAGCACCTGTTTGTCCTCCCCCTTCTACACACAAGGTGGACACAAATTCTATAGCTCCTGTTTGTCCTCTCCCTTCTACACACAAGGTGGACACACACCATCTATAGCACCTGTTTGTCTTCTCCCTTCTACGCTCAAGGTGGACAGACACCTTCTATAGCTCCTGTTTGTCCTCTCCCTTCTACACACAAGGTGGACAGACACCATCTATAGCTCCTGTTTGTCCTCTCCCTTCTACACACAAGGTGGACACACACATTCTATAGTTCCTGTTTGTCCTCTCCCTTCTACACACAAGGTGGACACACACCATCTATAGCACCTGTTTGTCCTTCCTCTTCTACACACAAGGTGGACACACACCATCTATAGCACCTGTTTGTCCTCCCCCTTCTACACACAAGGTGGACACAAATTCTATAGCTCCTGTTTGTCCTCTCCCTTCTACACACAAGGTGGACACACATTCTATAGCACCTGTTTGTCCTCCCCCTTCTACACACAAGGTGGACACACATTCTATAGCACCTGTTTGTCCTCTCCCTTCTACACACAAGGTGGACACACATTCTATAGCACCTGTTTGTCCTCCCCCTTCTACACACAAGGTGGACACAAATTCTATAGCTCCTGTTTGTCTTCTCCCTTCTACGCTCAAGGTGGACAGACACCTTCTATAGCTCCTGTTTGTCCTCTCCCTTCTACGCACAAGGTGGATACACACCTCCTATAGCACCTGTTTGTTTTCTGCCTTCTACACACAAGGTGGACACACACATTCTATAGCACCTGTTTGTTTTCTCCCTTCTACGCACAAGGTGGACACACACATTCTATAGCACCTATTCGTCCTCTCCCTTCTACGCACAAGGTGGACACACACCTTCAATAGCACTTGTTTGTTTTCTCCCTTCTACGCGCAAGGTGGACACACACCTTCTGTAGCACCTGTTTGTCCTCTCCCTTCTACGCACAAGGTGGACACACACATTCTATAGCTCCTGTTTGTCTTCTCCCTTCTACACACAAGGTGGACACACACCATCTATAGCTCCTGTTTGTCTTGTCCCTTCTACGCACAAGGTGGACACACACCTTCTATAGCTCCTGTTTGTCTTCTCCCTTCTACGCACAAGGTGGATACACACCTTCTATAGCTCCTGTTTGTCTTCTCCCTTCTACGCACAAGGTGGACACACACCTTCTATAGCTCATGTTTGTCTTCTCCCTTCTACGCACAAGGTGGACACAGAAGGTGTTCCAGTGCATGTTAGGGGCGATGGGGTAGCCTAGTGGTTAAAGTGTTCGCTCGTCTTGCCAAAGACCTGGGTTTGATTTTTCTCATGGGTACAATGTATGAAGTCCATTTCTGGTGTCCCCTACCATGATATTGCAGGACTATTGCTAAAAGCAACGTAAAACCATGCACAGTCCCTCACCTAATGCATGTTCAGATTGATGATCCAGCTGGCGGCATGGCATCATGTCGCCCACTGCAGTGTTGCAGACACTGTCTTGACAGGATATGCTGACTCTTGTGTTTGAATCCCAAGTTTGGCCTGTCAGCACCATAACATAACACAGGTTACTTCAATGTGCTCAGTCTCTCCTAAACCTCCCCATCTTGCCCCCTACAAACATTTAACAGAATTAAATGAAATCGTCCTATATGTATGGACCCACACAAACCTCCCCTCACCCGCTCAAATTCCGTCACACTTTGTTCTGAACGGTTCACTGAGTTTCCCCGTTATCCACCTTCTGCCAGAATGACACGTGTCACCATGGTTACAGGATAATAACATAAGAGCTCAGTATCAGAACAACTTATTGATATGCTGTCATCTTTTCCACATTATTTACACCTAATTATCTTCCATGTTAAATCACTGACATTGTGACAGAGAGTATTGTGTGGATCTCTTTAATTAGCAGATCCATATGCCTGTGTATGAAACCACCATCTTATTCAAGTCTGTGTGGTGTCCAGCATTGTGTATTGGATGTCATGGAGTTATAAATAGCATTAGCCGGCAGTGGATGTTCCTAGTAACGACTTGGCTCTAGTTCAGCAGGATGCTAGCGTAGTGAGACTATATACATGTGTGTCATGTCACAGTGGTTTTCTTTGTCATGTGAAGAATGGACGTTGCTATGGATACAGAGTCTTTGTTTAGAACTTGTAACGTTTTAGTAGCCACAGCATATTGTTGGGAAAATGTCAGATTCCAAACATTGAAGATATGAGTTGATGAAGGAAGCATGCTGTGTGTCGGAGATAACGGGTTGGGAAGGTGTCACTGGTTGCAGGGCTACAACTCCCATGTTTAGGGATTGTATAATGTGTAGTCATAACAAATGTTGCCCTATAAACAAGTTAACATGCCCTATGTAATGTTTCTATGTTTAACTAAACTATAAACTATATAATATAACATGCCCTATAAGTAGAAAGATGCTATAAAGTTTCTATGTTTCAAGATGTTTCTATCAAGCTAAACTATATAATATAACATATATAATATAACATGCCCTATGTATTAATATAACATGCCCCATAAACTATATAATATAACATGCCCTATAAACTATAGGCTAAACTATATATATAACATGCCCTATAAACTATATAATATAACATGCCCTATAAGTAGAAAGATATTTCTATGTTTCAAGCTAAACTATATAATATAACATGCCCTATAAACTATATAATATAACATGCCATGCCCTATAAACTATATAATATAACATGCCCTATAAACTATATAATATAACATGCCCTATAAGTAATATAAGATGTTTCTATGTTAGAAAGAAGCTAAAATATATAATATAACATATATAAACTATATAATATATAGAAAGATGTTTCTATGCCCTATATGCTATGTTTCAATATAACATGCCCTATAAACTATATAATATAACATGCCCTATAAGTACTAGTTTCTATGTTTCAATATAACATGCCCTATATAATGTAACATGCCCTATAAATGCCCTATGTAATATAACATGCCCTATAAGTAGAAAGATGTTTCTATGTTTAACAGGCTAAACTATATAATATAACATGCTAAACTATATAATATAACATGCCCTATAAGTAGAAAGATGTTTCTATGTTTCAAGCCTATAAACTATATATATAACATGCCCCATAAACTATATAATATAACATGCCCTATAAACTATATAATATAACATGCCCTATAAGTAGAAAGATGTTTCTATGTTTCAAGCTAAACTATATAATATAACATGCCCTATAAGTAGAAAGATGTTTCTATGTTTCAAGCTAAACTATATAATATAACATGCCCTATAAGTAGAAAGATGTTTCTATGTTTCAAGCTAAACTATATAATATAACATGCCCTATAAGTAGAAAGATGTTTCTATGTTTCAAGCTAAACTATATAATATAACATGCCCTATAAAGTAGAAAGATGTTTCTATGTTTCAAGCTAAACTATATAATATAACATGCCCTATAAGTAGAAAGATGTTTCTATGTTTCAAGCTAAACTATATAATATAACATGCCCTATAAGTAGAAAGATGTTTCTATGTTTCAAGCTAAACTATATAATATAACATGCCCTATAAACTATATAATATAACATGCCCCATAAACTATATAATATAACATGCCCTATAAACTATATAATATAACATGCCCTATAAGTAGAAAGATGTTTCTATCTTTCAAGCTAAACTATATAATATAACATGCCCTATAAGTAGAAAGATGTTTCTATGTTTAAACTATATAATATAACATGCCCTATAAACTATATAATATAACATGCCCTATAAACTATATAATATAACATGCCCTATAAACTATGTAATATAACATGCCCTATAAGTAGAAAGATGTTTCTATGTTTCAAGCTAAACTATATAATATAACATACCCTATAAACTATATAATATAACATGCCCCATAAACTATATAATATAACATGACCTATAAACTATATAATATAACATGCCCTATAAGTAGAAAGATGTTTCTATGTTTCAAGCTAAACTATATAATATAACATGCCCTATAAGTAGAAAGATGTTTCTATGTTTCAAGCTAAACTATATAATATAACATGCCCTATAAGTAGAAAGATGTTTCTATGTTTCAAGCTAAACTATATAACATAACATGCCCTATAAGTAGAAAGATGTTTCTATGTTTCAAGCTAAACTATATAATATAACATGCCCTATAAGTAGAAAGATGTTTCTATGTTTCAAGCTAAACTATATAATATACATGCCCTATAAGTAGAAAGATGTTTCTATGTTTCAAGCTAAACTATATAATATACTTGCCCTATAAGTAGAAAGATGTTTCTATGTTTCAAGCTAAACTATATAATATAACATGCCCTATAAACTATATAATATAACATGCCCCATAAACTATATAATATAACATGCCCTATAAACTATATAATATAACATGCCCTATAAGTAGAAAGATGTTTCTATCTTTCAAGCTAAACTATATAATATAACATGCCCTATAAGTAGAAAGATGTTTCTATGTTTCAAGCTAAACTATATAATATAACATGCCCTATAAGTAGAAAGATGTTTCTATGTTTCAAGCTAAACTATATAATATAACATGCCCTATAAGTAGAAAGATGTTTCTATGTTTCAAGCTAAACTATATAATCTACATGCCCTATAAGTAGAAAGATGTTTCTATGTTTCAAGCTAAACTATATAATCTACATGCCCTATAAGTAGAAAGATGTTTCTATGTTTCAAGCTAAACTATATAATATACATGCCCTATAAGTAGAAAGATTCAAACATGATTTGACAGACTGTGTTATTGATGTATTTGGGAATGAAGTTGACAGGATTTCCTATTGGTGTCAGTATCTGTTGAGGAAAGACTGACTGACGGACTGAGTTTGGTTTTACGCTCCGCTATTAGCAATATTCCAGCAACATCACGGCGGGGGACACCAGAAATGGGCTTCACACATTGTGCCCATGTGGGGATTCGAACACGGGTCTTCGGCATGACTAGCCAACGCTTTAACCATTAGGCTACCCCACCGCCCCGTTGAGGAAAGACTATTTTCATGTGTAAACTTGGATCATATGGGAGTCTGAGGATAGAATAGGTCCCCAGCTGTATGGCTTTCTTAGAGATGCTAACTGGATGAGGTGAACATCCTCTGTGACGTTCTCTCCATGTTGTTTTGTTGATCACTGCTCATAACATCAACCACTGGTTCGTCTGATCCAGACTTGAATATTTTGAGATGGCATTATTTACCACCATGTTATTCTGGAATGAGAGGATGTTTTAGCATTTGTGCAGAGAAACAATGATGTATGTCTTCAGGAACACTTGTAAGCTCTTCTGGGATGAGAATCTTCTCATGTTCACGTGTCATCTGTTGAGGTTCCTGAAAGGCATTTAGAGGTTGGATGAACACGTTGTTTATGGATAACAACTCTGTTTTATTCTTTATACGATGTTTACACTCAGAGCACACTGACTTAGCATTCACCTAATGAAGGAGCAAGAATTACCTCTGAAATGTCGTATAAAGAATAAAGAAAAGTTGTTATCAATGAAAAACCTGTCATGTATGCATCATCTGTAGAAAGTACATGAAGGATATTCTCGTGTACACACCTCAACCACTTCTGGGTCCAGAGCCTTATCTTCTCTATAAATAGATATGACCTTACTGAACACTCTCTTGTGTGTCTATACTCCGTGATCATTTTATAAGAAATCCAGGAATTGAGTTTTCATTTTAGAGGGTTTGTTCCGTGTGTTTTGTTGATTTTAGTCTTCAGTTCTGTCTAGACGTTTTCTTCAGGATGCATTTTAAATATTCTTCCACTTCTATTTCAGTGATGTCACACAGCACAGCAACGAGCTTCGCTTCGAGGTGTTTGACAAGAACAAGCAGCCTGGAGGTGAGGAGATACTTGCATGTCGACAGTGTCGCCCATAGAGACGTCATGTCGACTGTGTCGCCCATAGAGACGTCATGTCGACAGTGTCGCCCATACAGACGTCATGTTGACAGTGAGAGCTGTGTTATTGTGTATAAATTTAATCAGGCCAAGTTTCATGGTGTTCTGATTGTATGTGGAGGTCAGTTTGGAGGTTGGGAGGTCTGTCAGGATTCCAGTGACGTTCAAGAGGTTAGTCGGAATGACGATCAAGAGCTCAGTCAAAATGATGATCAGGGGGTCGGTCAGAAGGGTAATCGGGATGACGATCAGGAGGTCAGTCAGAATGACGATCAGGAGGTCTGTGGGGAGGTCGATCAGGAGGTTAGTTGGAATGACGATCAGGAGGTCTGTGGGGAGGTCAATCAAGAGGTCATTTGGAAGGTCGATCAGGAGGTCGGTCAGAAGGGTAGTCGGAATGACGATCGGGACGTCAGTTGGAATGATGATCAGGAGGTCTGTCTGAGGTCCGTTGGGTAGTCAATCATGATGTCAGGAGATCGATCGGGAAGTCTGTTTGGAATTTGGGAGGTAATATTTGGGTGTTCTGTTTCAGAGGACTTCCTGGGGGAGACGACTGTGTACATGAACGACCTGCGCCTCTGCCCCAGCAGCCGCCAGATCCTCGCCCTGCAGAGTCGGCCCGGCAACATGGACTCCATCAGTGGCTCCCTCACCGTGGAGGTAAGTCAATACCATGTCTTACCCTCACCGTGGAGGTAAGTCAATACCACGTCTTCCCCTCACCGTGGAGGTTAGTCAATACCACGTCTTCCCCTCACCGTGGAGGTGGAGGTAGTCCAGTCAATACCACGCCTTCCCCTCACCGTGGAGGTAAGTCAATACCACGTCTTCCCCTCACCGTGGAGGTAAGTCAATACCACGTCTTCCCCTCACCGTGGAGGTAAGTCAATACCACGTCTTCCCCTCACCGTGGAGGTAAGTCAATACCACGTCTTCCCCTCACCGTGGAGGTAGGTCAATACCACGTCTTCCCCTCACCGTGGAGGTAGGTCAATACCACGTCTTCCCCTCACCGTGGAGGTAAGTCAATACCACGTCTTCCCCTCACCGTGGAGGTAAGTTAATACCACGTCTTCCCCTCACCGTGGAGGTAGGTCAATACCACATCTTCCCCTCACCGTGGAGGTAAATCAATACCACATCTTCACGTCCATACATGATCACATTAGTACCACGTGTTCTCCTTGGTAACGCATCTCCAGGGGAAAGAGGATAAATTTCAGTTGATCTTCACATCCATCTCGCGTCTTACGATGAGATCTTTTGGATTTCTGCCTGGAATTGGTCCCCAGTGCCAATACACAATGTTTTATGTCTGTAGACGTCAGACACTGATGCTGCTCTCTGTGTGTGTTTCCAGTTTCTCTTCATGGACTCGGCGGAGGCGGAGATGATGATGGGTATGCCGGGCGCCCCCAACAGCCAGCTGTCCCCCAAACGTCGCATCGAGACGGAGCGCACTATCACACCAGGTGGCACTGTTATAACCACGACAACTACTACCACACACCGACCTCAGTTCGGCCAACTCCAACCAGGGCCAGAGGGTAACACCACAGAAATGATTCAAACAATGGATGTTTCTCAGTTGACTTTGTCATCCATTGTCCAAAATTATATTCATTGTGTATGATTTTGGTGAACTTTGTTGGACATTTTCTTCTGTTTGTTTCCTCAACTTGTGTGATAGTTCCTCGACATCCTGGTCTGTACCGCCTCACACTCGTCTGACCAGTCACATGATAGGAACAAACAACCAATCCGTACTCTCCTCTTATAAGGAATAGGGTAACTCTCGACTTCAAAATTCAATCTTTTCAACATTTTATGGCAATTTGGCTCAAATACTCATAAAAGATGTCACTGCTTGTATTAGAAGAAAAAAATAAAAGCTAGGGTGGAGGTCAATACAATGGCTAGCATGGAGGTCAATACAATGACCAGGGTTTAGGTCAATACAATGGCAAGGGTGAAGGTCAGTACAATGGCTGGGGTGAAGGTCAGTGCAATGGCTGGGGTGGAGGTCAATACAATGACCAGGGTTTAGGTCAATACAATGGCTGGGGTGGAGGTCAATACAATGGCCAGGGTGGAGGTCAATACAATGGCCAGGGTGGAGGTCAATACAATGACTGGGGTGGAGGTCAATACAATGGCCAAGGTCAATACAATGGCTGGGGTGGAGGTCAATACAATGGCCAGGGTGGAGGTCAATACAATGACCAGGGTGGAGGTCAATACAATGACCAGGGTGAGGTCAATACAATGGCCTGGGTAAAGGTCAATACAATGACCAGGGTTTAGGTCAATACAATGGCTTGGGTGGAGGTCAATGCAATGGCCAGTGTGAGGTCAATACAATGGCCAAGGTGAAGGTCAATACAATGTCCAGTGTGAGGTCAATACAATGTCCAGGGTGAAGGTCAATACAATGGCTGGGGTGGAGGTCAATGCAATGGCCAGTGTGAGGTCAATACAATGGCCAAGGTGAAGGTCAATGCAATGGCCAGTGTGAGGTCAATACAATGTCCAGGGTGAAGGTCAATGCAATGGCCAGGGTGTCGAGGTGGAACTACAGACTGCCTGTGTGTGCATGTGTGTTGAATTATTATGTAGAGACCCCTACTGGAATGATGTTTACAAGATGTAACATATATTTGTGTTTGAATGTTTGATACTAATTTTTTATTGTTGAAAACTGTAATGTTAACACTACCATCTGTAGGAGAGCCCTCTATAATATTGTCAAGGGAGACAACTCTGTAATGTTCAGCCTTTACTGAACTGTATGGGTCTATACACCCATCTGTAGTAAAACCCTTTATATCACTACAAGGGGGACAACTCTGTAATGGTCAGCCTTTACTGAACTGTATGAGTCTATATACCGACCTGTAGGAAAACCCTTTATATCACTACAAGGGAGATCACTCTGTAATGGTCAGCCTTTACTGAACTGTATGGGTCTATATACCGACCTGTAGGAAAACCCTTTATATCACTACAAGGGAGACAACTCTGTAATGGTCGGCCTTTACTTAACTGTATGAGTCTATACACCCATCTGTAAGAAAACCCTTTATATCACTACAAGGGAGACCACTCTGTAATGGTCAGCCTTTACTGAACTGTATGGGTCTATATACCCGATCTGTAGGAAAACCCTTTATATCACTACAAGGGAGACAACTCTGTAATGGTCAGCCTTTACTTAACTGTATGGGTCTATACACCCATCTGTAGGAAAACCCTTTATATCACTACAAGGGAGACAACTCTGTAATGGTCAGCCTTTACTGAACTGTATGGGTCTATACACCCATCTGTAGGAAAACCCTTTATATCACTACAAGGGAGACAACTCTGTAATGTTCATCCTTTACTGAACTGTATGGGTCTATATATCCATCTGTAGATAAACCCTATATATCACTACAAGGGAGACAACTCTGTAATGGTCATCCTTTACTGAACTGTATGGGTCTATATATCCATCTGTAGATAAACCCTTTATATCACTACAAGGGTGACAACTATGTAATGTTCATCCTTTACTGAACTGTATGTAGGAAAACCTATATATCACTACAAGGGAGACCACTCTGTAATGTTCATCATTTACTGAACTGTATGGGTCTATAAACCCTTTATATCACTACAAGGGAGACAACTCTGTAATGTTCATCCTTTACTGAACTGTATGGGTCCATATACCCATCTGTAGGAAAACCCTTTATATCACTACAAGGGAGACAACTCTGTAATGTTCAGCCTTTACTGAACTGTATGGGTCTATATATCCATCTGTAGATAAACCCTATATATCACTACAAGGGAGATCACTCTGTAATGGTCAGCCTTTACTGAACTGTATGGGTCCATATACCCATCTGTAGATAAACCCTATATATCACTACAAGGGAGACCACTCTGTAATGTTCATCCTTTACTGAACTGTATGGGTCTATATACTCATCTGTAGATAAACCCTATATATCACTACAAGGGAGACAACTCTGTAATGGTCAGCCTTTACTGAACTGTATGGGTCTATATACCGACCTGTAGGAAAACCCTTTATATCACTACAAGGGAGACAACTCTGTAATGGTCAGCCTTTACTGAACTGTATGGGTCTATATACCGACCTGTAGGAAAACCCTATATATCACTACAAGGGTGACAACTCTGTAATGGTCAGCCTTTACTGAACTGTATGGGTCTATATACCGACCTGTAGGAAAACCCTATATATCACTACAAGGGTGACAACTCTGTAATGGTCAGCCTTTACTGAACTGTATGGGTCTATACACCCATCTGTAGGAAAACCCTTTATATCACTACAAGGGAGACAACTCTGTAATGGTCAGCCTTTACTGAACTGTATGAGTCTATATACCCATCTGTAGATAAACCCTATATATCACTACAAGGGAGATCACTCTGTAATGGTCAGCCTTTACTGAACTGTATGGGTCTATATACCGACCTGTAGGAAAACCCTATATATCACTACAAGGGAGACAACTCTGTAATGGTCAGCCTTTACTAAACTGTATGAGTCTATATACCGACCTGTAGATAAACCCTATATATCACTACAAGGGAGACAACTCTGTAATGGTCAGCCTTTACTGAACTGTATGAGTCTATATACCCATCTGTAGATAAACCCTATATATCACTACAAGGGAGATCACTCTGTAATGGTCAGCCTTTACTGAACTGTATGGGTCTATATACCGACCTGTAGGAAAACCCTATATATCACTACAAGGGAGACAACTCTGTAATGGTCAGCCTTTACTGAACTGTATGGGTCTATATATCCATCTGTAGATAAACCCTATATATCACTACAAGGGAGATCACTCTGTAATGGTCAGCCTTTACTGAACTGTATGGGTCTATATACCGACCTGTAGGAAAACCCTTTATATCACTACAAGGGAGACAACTCTGTAATGGTCAGCCTTTACTGAACTGTATGGGTCTATATACCGACCTGTAGGAAAACCCTATATATCACTACAAGGGTGACAACTCTGTAATGGTCAGCCTTTACTGAACTGTATGGGTCTATATACCGACCTGTAGGAAAACCCTATATATCACTACAAGGGTGACAACTCTGTAATGGTCAGCCTTTACTGAACTGTATGGGTCTATATACCGACCTGTAGGAAAACCCTTTATATCACTACAAGGGAGACAACTCTGTAATGGTCAGCCTTTACTGAACTGTATGAGTCTATATACCCATCTGTAGATAAACCCTATATATCACTACAAGGGAGATCACTCTGTAATGGTCAGCCTTTACTGAACTGTATGAGTCTATATACCCATCTGTAGGAAAACCCTATATATCACTACAAGGGAGACAACTCTGTAATGGTCAGCCTTTACTGAACTGTATGAGTCTATATACCGACCTGTAGGAAAACCCTTTATATCACTACAAGGGAGACCACTCTGTAATGGTCAGCCTTTACTGAACTGTATGGGTCTATATACCGACCTGTAGGAAAACCCTATATATCACTACAAGGGAGACAACTCTGTAATGGTCAGCCTTTACTGAACTGTATGGGTCTATATATCCATCTGTAGATAAACCCTATATATCACTACAAGGGAGATCACTCTGTAATGGTCAGCCTTTACTGAACTGTATGGGTCCATATACCCATCTGTAGATAAACCCTATATATCACTACAAGGGAGACCACTCTGTAATGTTCATCCTTTACTGAACTGTATGGGTCTATATACCGACCTGTAGGAAAACCCTTTATATCACTACAAGGGAGACCACTCTGTAATGTTCATCCTTTACTGAACTGTATTGGTCTATATACTCATCTGTAGATAAACCCTATATATACTGTAATGTTCATCCTCCACTGAACTGTATGGGATATAACCCTATATATCACTACAAGGGAGACCACTCTGTAATGTTCATCCTTTACTGAACTGTATGGGTCTATATACCCATCTGTAGATAAACCCTTTATATCACTACAAGGGAGACAACTCTGTAATGTTCATCCTTTACTGAACTGTATGGGTCTATATATCCATCTGTAGATAAACCCTTTATATCACCACAAGGGAGACAACTCTGTCCTGTCAGGTTTAACTTTTGAATTAAATAAATGTTTTGCCAACATAGATTTGACATTTATTTGAGAAGAAACTTGATGGATATGTTGGACAGCCTGGCCTATACCGCTCTGAGTAGATGCATTGACTGACAGGATATTTGTGTATCTCTCTCAGTAAGTCTCCCATCACAGTCAGTACTTACCTGCATGAGTGTGTGTACACATGATTTAAATGTACTTTCTGTATTCTGTGCTTGTGTGTATCTATTCGTGTGTATGTACTCTTGTGCGTTATTGTGTGTAAGTACTTGTGTGTATGTGTTGGTATGTATGTGCTCGTGTGTATGTACTATTGTGCATTATTGTGTGTAAGTATTTGTGTGTATGTGTTGGTATGTATGTGCTCGTGTGTATGTGCTCATGTGTGTTCTTGTGTGTAAGTACTTGTGTGTATGTGTTGGTATGTATGTGCTCGTGTGAAAGTGCTCCTGTCTATGTGCTCCTGTGTACATGTTTGTGTGTCTGTGATCATGTGTACATGCTTGTGTGTCTGAGCTCATTTGTACGTGCTCCTGTGTGCATGCTAGTGTGTACATGCTTGTGTGTATTTGCTTTGTGTCTGCTTGTGGGTATGTCATATCCGATTGCTTCAATCCTGAGTAAAACATCATCATTCAAACCCTGAGTATACCAAACACCTGAGTGACTACACACGTGTGTGACCGTATGCCTGTGTGGCAATATGCCTATTTGATGACACCGTGTGACTGTATGCCTGTCTGATGACACACCAGTGTGACTGTATGCCTGTCCGATGACACACCAGTGTCATTGTATGCCTGTCCGATGACATGCCAGTGTGACTGTATGCCTGTCCGATGACACACCAGTGTGATTGTATGCCTGTCCGATGAAATGCCTGTGTGATTGTATGCCTGTCCGATGACACACCAGTGTGATTGTATGCCTGTCCATTGACATGCCAGTGTGATTGTATGCCTGTACATCGACACACCAGTGTGATTGTATGCCTGTCCGATGACATGCCAGTGTGATTGTATGCCTGTCCGATGACATGCCAGTGTGATTGTATGCCTGTCCGATGACATGCCAGTGTGATTGTATGCCTGTACATCGACACACCAGTGTGATTGTATGCCTGTCCGATGACATGCCAGTGTGATTGTATGCCTGTCCGATGACACACCAGTGTGATTGTATGCCTGTCCGATGACATGCCAGTGTGATTGTATGCCTTTACATCAACACACCAGTGTGACTGTATGCCTGTCCGATGACATGCCAGTGTGATTGTATGCCTGTCCGATGACATGCCAGTGTGATTGTATGCCTGTCCGATGACATGCCAGTGTGATTGTATGCCTGTTCGATGACATGCCTGTGTGATTGTATGCCTGTCCGATGACGCACCAGTGTGATTGTATGCCTGTCCGATGACACACCAGTGTGATTGTATGCCTGTCCGATGACACGCCAGTGTGATTATATGCCTGTCCGATGACATGCCAGTGTGATTGTATGCCTGTCCGATGACATGCCTGTGTGATTGTATGCCTGTCCGATGACATGCCAGTGTGATTGTATGTCTGTCCGATGACATGCCTGTGTGATTGTATGCCTGTCGGATGACGCACCAGTGTGATTGTATGCCTGTCCGATGACACACCAGTGTGATTGTATGCCTGTCCGATGACATGCCAGTGTGATTGTATGCCTGTCCGATGACATGCCTGTGTGATTGTATGCCTGTCCGATGACATGCCAGTGTGATTGTATGCCTGTCCGATGACATGCCAGTGTGATTGTATGCCTGTCCGATGACATGCCAGTATGATTGTATGCCTGTCCGATGACATGCCTGTGTGATTGTATGCCTGTCCGATGACATGCCAGTGTGATTGTATGCCTGTCCGATGACATGCCAGTGTGATTGTATGCCTGTCCGATGACATGCCTGTGTGATTGTATGCCTGTCCGATGACATGCCAGTGTGATTGTTTGTCTGTCCGATGACATGCCAGTGTGATTGTTTGCCTGTCCGATGACATGCCTGTGTGTTTGTATGCCTGTCCGATGACACACCAGTGTGATTGTATGCCTGTCCGATGACATGCCAGTGTGATTGTATGTGTGTGTGTCATCTATAATGGCTGTGTGATTGTACGTGTGTGTGTCATCTATAATGGCTGTGTGAATTAATGCATGTCGTGAGGTGTAATATGCGTGTGTATAATGGCTGTGTGAGTGTATGCGTGTGTGTCATCTATAATGGCTGTGTGAAGTGTATGTGTGTCATCCTGTAACGCTGTGTGTCATGTATAATGGCTGTGTGAGTAATGCGTGTGTCATCTATAATGGCTGTGTGAGTGCACGTGTAATGTCATCTATAATGGCTGTGTGAGTGTCATCATCTATAATGGCTGTGTGAGTGTACGTGTGTCATCTATAATGGCTGAGTATGCGGTGTCATCTATAATGGCTGTGTGTGAGTGTACGCGGTGTCATCTATAATGGCTGTCATGAGTGTAATGGCGGTGTGTCATCTATAATGGCTGTGTGAGTGTATGCGTGTGTGTCATCTATAATGGCTGTGTGAGTGTAATGCGTGTGTCATGTATAAAGGCTGTGTGTCAGTATAATGGCTGTGTGTGTAATCGTATGTGTCATCTATAATGTCTGTGTGAGTGTATGTGTGTCATCTATAATGGCTGTGTGAGTGTATGTGTGTCATCTATAATGGCTGTGTGAGTGTATGTGTGTGTCATCTATAATGGCTGTGTGAGTGTACGTGTGTGTCATCTATAATGACTGTGTGAGTGTACGTGTGTGTCATCTATAATGGCTGTGTGAGTGTATGTGTGTGTGTCATCTATAATGGCTGTGTGCCTACCTATATTTACCTATATTTACACGTGTTACCTGTGTTACCTGTGTGGTGTGTCCCCCTAACTGCATGTCTCGTCTCCCCAGGACATCCCCCCAGCCTGGTGGAGAAGCATCACCACTCTAACCCGGACCTGGACTCCTCGTCCACCCTGAGTGCCGACTCCCCGTACTTCCCCGGGGACCAGTCATTGTCAGCATCTGCATCCTCAGGTAACTTGCTGCTCCCTATCTGTCTGACTCCTGTCTCCAGGCTTTAGTGCATGGAGGACAAGGTATTGTGATAAAGTATCCTAGACCCTCATATCACTTGATCCTCTTTCACCATCCCACCTTTCACTTCTAGGTCTTCATTTCACCATCTTTCACTTCTTGCACTTCATTTCAACATCTTTCACTTCTAGATTTTCATTTCACCATCTTTCACTTCTTGGTCTTCATTTCACAATCTTTCACTTCTTGGTCTTCATTTCACCATCTCTCTTCTTGGTCTTCATTTCACCATCTTTCACTTATTGGTCTTCATTTCACCATCTTTCACTTCTTGCACTTCATTTCACCATCTTTCACTTCTTACACTTCATTTCACCATCTTTTGCTTCTTGGTCTTCATTTCACCATCTTTCACTTCTTGGTCTTCATTTCACCATCTTTCACTTATAGATCTTCATTTCACCATCTTTCACTTCTAGGTCTTCATTTCACCATCTGTCATATCTAGGTCTTCATTTCACCATCTTTCATTTTTTGGTCCTCATTTCACCATCTTTCACTTCTTGCACTTCATTTCACTATCTTTCATCGCTTGGTCTTCATTTCACCATCTTTCATTCTAGGTCTTCATTTCACCATCTTTCATCTCTAGTTCTTCATTTCACCATCTTTCACTTCTAAGTCTTCATTTCACCATCTTTCATCGCTTGGTCTTCATTTCACCATCTTTCATCGCTAGGTCTTCATTTCACCATCTTTCATCTCTAGTTCTTCATTTCACCATCTTTCACTTCTAAGTCTTCATTTCACCATCTTTCATCGCTTGGTCTTCATTTCACCATCTTTCATCGCTAGGTCTTCATTTCACCATCTTTCATCTCTAGTTCTTCATTTCACCATCTTCACTCCTAGGTCTTCATTTCACCATCTTTCACTTCTAGATCTTCATTTCACCATCTTTCACTTCTTGGTCTTCATTTCACCATCTTTCACTTCTAGGTCTTCATTTTCTTTCACTTCTTGGTCTTCATTTCACCATCTTTCACTTCTTGGTCTTCATTTCACCATCTTTCACTTCTTGGTCTTCATTTCACCATCTTTCACTTCTTGATCTTCATTTCACCATCTTTCACTTCTAGGTCTTCATTTCACCATCTTTCACTTCTAGGTCTTCATTTCACCATCTTTCACTTCTTGGTCTTCATTTCACCATCTTTCACTTCTTGGTCTTCATTTCACCATCTTTCACTTCTAGGTCTTCATTTCACCATCTGTCATATCTAGGTCTTCATTTCACCATCTTTCATTTTTTGGTCCTCATTTCACCATCTTTCACTTCTTGGTCTTCATTTCACCATCTTTCACTTCTTGGTCTTCATTTCACCATCTTTCACTTCTAGGTCTTCATTTCACCATCTTTCACTTCTTGGTCTTCATTTCACCATCTTTCACTTCTAGGTCTTCATTTCACCATCTTTCACTTCTTGGTCCTCATTTCACCGTCTTTCACTTTTAGGTCTTCATTTCACCATCTTTCACTTCTTGGTCTTCATTTCACCATGTTTCACTTCTAGGTCTTCATTTCACAATCTTTCACTTCTTGGTCTTCATTTCACCATCTTTCATCTGTAGGTCTTCATTTCACCATCTTTCACTTCTAGGTCTTCATTTCACCATCTTTCACTTCTAGGTCTTCATTTCACCATCTTTCACTTCTAGATCCTCATTTAACCATCTTTCACTTTTTGGTCCTCATTTCACCATCTTTCACTTCTTGGTCTTCATTTCACCATCTTTCACTTCTAGGTCCTCATTTCACCATCTTTCACTTTTTGATCCTCATTTCACCATCTTTCACTTCTTGGTCTTCATTTCACCATCTTTCATCTCTAGATCTTCATTTCACTATCCTTCACTGTAGAATTTTGGAATCATAATTTATCAATGTTTCGCTGGAAGACCTGAAAGTGTTTGAACCAATGTTTTAATGGTGATGTGAGATTCTCCTGCATGACGATATGTATTTTCTTAAACAATACTAATGTCCTTTATTTTCAGCAACCTGCTCCCTGCATGGGATGTTTGACTCCTGTAGTTGACTTTGATTACAACAAACCGATGTGTTACTGAAACTCCCTCCAGAATAAGTTTCCAGTACAGCTATTGTCGAAACGTTTGTAGCCCTACAAACTTCTTAAGCCCATTCTTGACACATTGGCTACAATCAAAGTTAAGAATTCTTAGGGCTACGAACGTTTGGAGAATAAGGGTCCAGTAAAACCAAACAGGTTACCACCTGCATGAAACACCTGGACTTACTCATCTGTACTTAGACACCTGTACTTAACACCTGTAAATGAACACATGTACTTACAAACTGTACACACACACAAGCACACATACACACAACGTATGCACACACACATTTACACATTTAGATACAAAACTATTCTTACGCATCTGTTCCCAAACACTTGTACACAAACACTTGTACACACACACTTGTACACAAACACTTGTACACAAGCACTTGTACACACGCACTTTTGTACACAAACACTTGTACACAAACACTTGTACACAAGCACTTGTACACACGCACTTGTACACAAACACTTGTTCACAAACACTTGTACACAAGCACTTGTACACAAACACTTGTACACAAGCACTTGTACACAAACACAAACACTTGTACACAAACACTTGTACACACGCACTTGTACACACGCACTTGAACACAAACACTTGTACACAAACACTTGTACACAAGCACTTGTACACAAACACTTGTAAACAAATACTTGTACACAAATACTTGTACACAAACACTTGTACACAAGCACTTGTACACAAGCACTTGTACACAAACACTTCTACACAAACACTTCTACACAAACACTTCTACACAAACACTTCTACACAAACACTTCTACACAAACACAAACACTTCTACACAAACACTTCTACACAAACACTTCTACACAAACACAAACACTTGTACACAAACACTTGTACACAAACACTTGTACACAAGCACTTGTACACAAACACTTGTACACAAGCACTTGTACACATGCACTTGTACACATGCACTTGTACACAAACACTTGTACACAAGCACTTGTACACAAGCACTTGTACACATGCACTTGTACACAAACACTTGTACACAAACACAAACACTTGTACACAAACACTTGTACACAAACACTTGTACACAAGCACTTGTACACAAACACTTGTACACAAACACTTGTACACAAGCACTTGTACACACACACTTGTACACAAACACTTGTACACACACACTTGTACACAAACACTTGTACACAAACACTTGTACACACACCTTGTACACAAACACTTGTACACAAACACTTGTACACAAAAATACTTGTACTCACACTTATACACACACACACACCTGTGTGTTCAATGGCCAGTACTATAGTGACACACATTAATTGCACACAACTATTTTCTCCCCCTGTTTACACACACACACTTCTACACGGACAGGTGTCAGGTGTTACACGTTATATTTGGGATCTCACTTTCTCAGTAAATGTCAGTGTCTAGTCACAGGTGTCAGGTGTAACACGTTATATTTGGGATTACACTTTCTCAGTAAATGTCAGTGTCTAGTCATAGGTGTCAGGTGTAACACGTTATATTTGGGATTACACTTTCTCAGTAAATGCCAGTGTCTAGTCACAGGTGTCAGGTGTTACACGTTATATTTGGGATTACACTTTCTCAGTAAATGTCAGTGTCTAGTCACAGGTGTCAGGTGTAACACGTTATATTTGGGATTACACTTTCTCAGTAAATGTCAGTGTCTAGTCATAGGTGTCAGGTGTCTTTGTGTCACAAGAAATTATATATTTTCCATAATTCATGATTTTTGTGACATTTGTAATGACCTTGGGTTTGTTGTGTCAAGGTCAACGTCCATTGTGTGCATGACGTGCTGCAGATTGTTAGATGCATCAACAGAAGACGATGTCCACTCCTTGAAACTATATGTCCACTCTGCTTGTTTTGTAGGACGACTTTGAATCATTCCTCAAGTGTTACCTCATAAACATGCAATATTTTAATAGTTACCTCCTGGGCCCTGGTTGTACAAATTGCATTTATTACACAAACATTCAGCTTGTAATTAGTTCACAGTGGGAAGAGTGACGGGGTCAAGGAATTGAACACAACCTCATAAAGAGAGTGCCATGTATTGTCTTTATAATTTATCTCAGCTTAAACAAGAATATGTGAATAGTCTTGTAAACTACAGTACCTTGTAGAACAGGGCACTTAATGGAGTAAATACAGTATCTCTTGTTGCTGGGTAACCTTGTAGAACAGGGCACTTAATGGAGTAAATACAGTATCTCTTGTTGCTGGGTAACCTTGTAGAACAGGGCACTTAATGGAGTAAATATGGTATCTCTTGTTGCTGGGTAACCTTGTAGAACAGGGCACTTAATGGAGTAAATACGGTATCTCTTGTTGCTGGGTAACCTTGTAGAACTTGTAGAACAGGGCACTTAATGGAGTAAATACGGTATCTCTTGTTGCTGGGTAACCTTGTAGAACAGGGCACTTAATGGAGTAAATACGGTATCTCTTGTTGCTGGGTAACCTTGTAGAACAGGGCACTTAATGGAGTAAATACGGTATCTCTTGTTGCTGGGTAACCTTGTAGAACAGGGCACTTAATGGAGTAAATACGGTATCTCTTGTTGCTGGGTAACCTTGTAGAACAGGGCACTTAATGGAGTAAATCACGGTATCTCTTGTTGCTGGGTAACCTTGTAGAACAGGGCACTTAATGGAGTAAATCACGGTATCTCTTGTTGCTGGGTAACCTTGTAGAACAGGGCACTTAATGGAGTAAATACGGTATCTCTTGTTGCTGGGTAACCTTGTAGAACAGGGCACTTAATGGAGTAAATCACGGTATCTCTTGTTGCTGGGTAACCTTGTAGAACAGGGCACTTAATGGAGTAAATCACGGTATCTCTTGTTGCTGGGTAACCTTGTAGAACAGGGCACTTAATGGAGTAAATACGGTATCTCTTGTTGCTGGGTAACCTTGTAGAACAGGGCACTTAATGGAGTAAATACAGTATCTCTTGTTGCTGGGTAACCTTGTAGAACAGGGCACTTAATGGAGTAAATACTGGTATCTCTTGTTGCTGGGTAACCTTGTAGAACAGGGCACTTAATGGTAAGTAAATGCGGTATCTCTTGTTGCTGGGTAATCTTGTAGAACAGGGCACTTAATGGAGTAAATACAGTATCTCTTGTTGCTGGGTAACCTTGTAGAACAGGGCACTTAATGGAGTAAATACAGGTATCTCTTGTTGCTGGGTAACCTTGTAGAACAGGGCACTTAATGGAGTAAATACTGGGTATCTCTTGTTGCTGGGTAACCTTGTAGAACAGGGCACTTAATGGAGTAAATACAGTATCTCTTGTTGCTGGGTAACCTTGTAGAACAGGGCACTTAATGGAGTAAATACAGTATCTCTTGTTGCTGGGTAATCTTGTAGAACAGGGCACTTAATGGAGTAAATACAGTATCTCTTGTTGCTGGGTAACCTTGTAGAACTGGGCACTTATTATATTAAATATTGTATATTAGTTTTACTGGGTAGCTACTGGAGGTGGGGCTCTTAATACAGTAAATATGGTACCTGCGATTGCAGCAAAATCAAGTGATTGGGGTGGGGGGGGGGGCAGCCCACAGAGGGGAACACGTCATGGTTCTTCTTCCATCTGAATTTTCAGCTCATCAGGGATTGCTTGAAACTAATTTCCGAGTTTATCTCCCCAGGTGCCGATCATGGTGGTGTACCCGTAAGTAGCGGCCGTTTTGACTTGTGTTCCAGGCGGCTGTGCTGCAGATGTTGGAATGTTGCAGCATGTGGTTGGAATGTTGCAGCATGTGGTTGGAATGTAGATGTTGTTGGTGTTTTACAGAGTTGATTGTAATTAATGGAGTGGAGTCCGTCACAGACGCAGCCATCAGGGAGTTGAAAGACCAGACGCGGCGGCCTCGCACTCCAACCAAAACTAGCACGCTTATAATAACCGGCGTCAAGCGGGTAAGATCTACACCGCACTTCCTGTCTCCTTACGATTATCAGTGAAATTACGAGGGTTGTTTTCTAACTTTGTGCTGGGAGTCTGTCGATAGCTTTATTTTTAATATATCCTTTACTGGTCAAATGTCTTCATTTTATTATATATCATAGATATGGTCATATGTTATTGAAATTATTGTGTTGGGCATAGCATCAGATGTGATGTAGAGTGATGTGAACACTCACTTTCCCGATTAGATCACTTGATTATAAGTATAGTTTCTCTTATGTCTGCAACATCCTGCAACATGTCAGTTGGGCTATTTATGGAAGATGTCAAATCAGATATTTCTTTCACATGTGTAAGTTGTATTCTCATTTTTTCTTTAAAAGTATGTGTTTTAGTAAAAATGAATGTTCTTAGATAGTTCTGAACATCCCCCTTATGAACACCAGCTGGGGCTAGGTCCCTGTAACTATGGCAACACACAATCTGGTGCTAGGTCCCTGTAACTATGGCAATACACCAGCTGATGCTAGGTCCCTGTCACATGTAACTATGGCAACACACCATCTGGTGCTAGGTCCCTGTAACTATGGCAATACACCAGCAGATGCTAGGTCCCTGTCACATGTAACTACGGCAACGCACCATCTGGTGCTAGGTCCCTGTAACTATGGCAACACACCAGCAGATGCTAGGTCCATGTCACATGTAACTATGGCAACACACCATCTGGTGCTAGGTCTCTGTAACTATGGCAATACACCAGCAGATGCTAGGTCCCTGTCACATGTAACTACGGCAATACACCAGCTGGTGCTAGGTCCCTGTAACTATGGCAACACACCAGCAGTTAGGTCCCTGTCACATGTAACTACGGCAATACACCAGCTGGTGCTAGGTCCCTGTAACTATGGTAATACACCAGCAGATGCTAGGTCCCTGTCACATGTAACTACGGCAACACACCATCTGGTGCTTGGTCCCTGTAACTATGGTAATACACCATCTGGTGCTAGGTCCCTGTCACATGTAACTACGGCAACACACCATCTGGTGCTAGGTCCCTGTAACTATGGCAACACACCAGCAGATGCTAGGTCCCTTTCTCATAGTTAGAAGGAATACAAACTTTCTGATCTCTGGTAAGAGAGCTTTAGCTTATTGGACCTTCGTTGTTAAGAATGTGATGATTTTATCAAGGAGGCGTTTAGACCAGTCAAAACGACAACACACCACAACAATGTATACAATATCAAGAGCAAAGGCTGCATATTCTATAAATGTCTTGAATATTTGTTTAAATATTGTTTTAAAATGATCTCAAACTTGTCCTAATAATTGTGTAAAAGTAATACTTTTGAGAGGGTCCCAAACTGAGGCAGATGAAGTCAAGGTTATTGAAGTCAATACATCACCTCCGTCTAACTGCCTGCAGTTTCTGATGGTTGTACAGCTGCCATCAATGTCTTTATGTTGTTACTTAGTTTGTTTATTTATGCAGCCTTGACCCTGTTGTTTACTGAGACTTGCCGTCAGTGTCCAGCATGTGTGTCTGAATGAGACCACTGGGTTGACTCCGGTTGACTCCGGTTGACTGGTTATGTTATTGTAACTGTGTGGAAATTAGGCAGGGCTCCAGATAAGTTTTCAACATGAGGAGTACGTACTCCTTATTGTTTAAATATTGGAGAACTGGAAAAACTTAGACTACATTTAGAGTACTGAATGGAAATTAATGGAGTATCAGTGATCTTGTATTTCGTTTCATATGTGCACCACAACATTGCTACTCATGTGTAAACAGGTCAATAAACAATAAAACAACACTTTTTCAGATAAATATGTATGTAAATTATTCTAAGACCATACACCATTTACTGTGGTTCTAAAGTATCTGCATGTTTTTTAACCGTACACACGCCGATATGGCCCTTATCTGGAGCCCTGATTAGGCCTTTTACTTTACAGTTTACAGTGGCTTACAAAGCATTCAGACAAATAAAGCTTTAGGGACATTTTATGTGGAGTCCAGTCTGTTTCGCTATCAGGTATGGTCCCAGCGATGTGAATGTAATTTATAGTTGTGTGGAAAACACCACAAACTACGGAAACTCCTGTTGTTGTCGGCAATTAATATATATAATTTGTGGCAACATGTTTTGTAAAACAGCCGAAGGAACTGAAAGGCCAACAATGCATGTTGACTGTATGAGCATGGCAACGTGAACTGATTTGTCAGGAAGTCGACTGATTGCTGCTGCATCCATTGTCATCAGTGTGTTGTTGTTAGCAAATAGTCTTTCTATGTTATACAGTAACTTGGAATGTTTGTTGATGTAAATATTCTTGTAATTTATAAATTTGTTGCATTACATATGTTATATCTACATATATCTGTGATGATGTCCTGGAAATTTCCGTGGTACATGACCTTGACCTTGATCTCCCCCTCTGACCTTATACTTTGACCTTACAAACACCCAATTTATTCTTACTTGACCACAACTTGACCACAAAATGACGATATGACTTGTTTACAACACCACACACTTTGTAGGCCTGTGTGTCATCAAACCCATTATACTCTGTTTTGTGTTATAACAAATGTTATAACCTGCTTATGTTATAACCAGCAAATTCACTTGTGATGTTAGACCCAATGTTATACCCTGTGATGTTATAATCCATGTATTTAAGAAATACAGTTCACTCTACCACCATGTATAGTGTAATATAACACACTTTTGCCCTGAACTATTATAGTTAAAGCACGAGGACGCTTGCGTCCGAGTGCTTTAACGTTATAATAGTTCAGGGCGAAAGTGAGCTTTATTACACTATACTTGGTGGTAAGGCGAACTGTATTTCTTTTCTAAGATGCCAAATTTAATACTTTCTAAGAATAATTACGATTAATTTAAGGCAGAAAACAAACGACGGTGTCGGTGACCTAAATTAAGAATCCTTGCACAGGGCAAACTGGCGAGCTGTTCTATTGATGTGTCTGCCCCCCTACGTTGAGACGAACGTTACCAGAAAAAAAAAAATGATAACAGTTTGATGACTGTTTACGTTCGGATTAAATATCTTCTCTGAATTATTTTAATTACATCTGTCATTAACGTAAACCATATGGGGTAATATGAACGTCGCATTTCTACTACAAACGTATGTTTAGATCAGTACATCCAGATGAAGCTGAGTAGTCAAGTGACATTCCACAATGGCATTGTGGGAATGTAAACATTGCGAACGTTACTGTGTCGCTGAAAACTTGTGAGTCGAATTGACACATTTTAACCGTCGTAAAACATAAACGTAATGTTTCCACCAGTGATGTTAGCTGCGTGAAAGCAACTGCAAACCAAGAAACGGGATGCAACGGAGTAGTTAACTGTAGGAGGCCGTACGAGACGATGACAACTGACATGCATCGTGACGTCGCTTACATTGTGACGTAATGTAAAATGGTTCGATCACGAGGGGGCACACTAGAATGGCGCAGTGACGAGATAACGTCATTCAATTCTTACGTCATCAAAAAACTATACCTTTATTGTCTGATAATGTAATTTTTTTCGATTGTTCTAACCGCTAGGCATCTTAGAAAACCTGTTCATGTTGTAACCCATGTTATACCCAGTTTGTGTCACGACCCATGTTATAACCTGTTTGTTAAATCATGTTTTACCTACTTGTGTTACAGCCCATGTTTTAACCCTTTTGTTTTATATTCCATGTTATATATTTTGTGTTATAATCCATGTTATAACCTTTTTGTGTTATAATCCATGTTATATCATGTTTGTGTTGTAACAGTTTACATCCTCGTAGTGTCATAATGCATGTTATACCCTTTTCATGTTATATTTTATGTATATATGCTGTGTTGTGTACTTGTTACTACAAGAGCGTCCTTCATGTCGTGAGTTCTGCCACTAGTTACGAACAAACACCTGTTCCCCCTGTAGATGAAGTTCCCATAATATCTGTGTCTGTATTGACCCCCTCCATGGCCCAGTGGAGAGAGTATCCGCTAGGAGAGAGGAAGGACAGGGGTTTGATTCCCACATGGGTTGTGTCAAGATCATGTTATGAGATTGTAGTTAAAGGCCAAAAATCTTAGCACCGTCCTCCAACACATCACATCGTCCTCCAACACATCACACCGTCCTCCAACTGTCCTCTAACACATCACACTGTCCTCCAACACATCACACCGTCCTCCAACACATCACACTGTCCTCCAACCATCCTCCAACACATCACACCATCCTCCAACACATCACACCGTCCTCCAACACATCACACCATTCTCCAACCGTCCTCCAACACATCACATCGTCCTCCAACACATCACATCGTCCTCCAATCGTCCTCCAACACATCACATCGTCCTCCAACACAATATCACACTGTCCTCCAACCGTCCTCCAACACATCACACCGTCCTCCAACACATCACACCGTCCTCCAACACATCACATCGTCCTCCAACACATCACATCGTCCTCCAACCGTCCTCCAACACATCACACTGTCCTCCAACACATCACACCGTCCTCCAACACATCACAAAGTCCTCCAACACATCACACTGTCCTCCAACCGTCCTCCAACACATCACAAAGTCCTCCAACACATCACACTGTCCTCCAACCATCCTCCAACACATCACATCGTCCTCCAACACATCACACTGTCCTCCAACCTTCCTCCAACACATCACACCGTCCTCCAACACATCACACTGTCCTCCCACCGTCCTCCAACACATCACACCGTCCTCCAACACATCACACTGTCCTCCAACCATCCTCGAACACATCACACCGTCCGCCAACACGTCACACCGTCCTCCAACACATCACACCGTCCTCCAACACATCACACCGTCCTCCAACACATCACCACGTCCTCCAACCATCCTCCAACACATCACACCGTCCTCTAACACATCACACCGTCCTCTAACACATCACACCGTCCTCCAACCGTCCTCCAACACATCACACCGTCCTCTAACACATCACACCATCCTCCAACTGTCCTCCAACACATCGCACCGTCCTCCAACACGTCACACCATCCTAGACCTCATCAAACCGTCCTACTTCTCATCGTACTATGCAAATGTAATGCTGCACCAGTGGCACACTATTTCAGGAAGTAAAGCACTGATAGTTAAAATGGTAATCTTGTTTGTAAGGACAATTAGAATGTTAGAGATTGGAGATCAGATATTCTGTGTGATGCTGGGCCAGCATTTGTCTTCCTTCTGTTTGTCAAAAGTTCCAAGACAGTAGTGTTAATACCTCCATAGTACCCTGTCAGTACCCTGGTAATACCCCTTAAATAGCCAGACAATACCCTGGTAATACCTCCATAGTACCCTGACAATACCCTGGTTTTACCCCTTGAGTACCCAGACAGTTCCCTGGTAATACCCTTTGAATACCCAGACAGTACCCTGGTAATACCTCTATAATACCCTGACAGTACCCTGGTAATACCCCTTGAATACCCTGACAGTACCCAGGTAATACCCCTTAAATACCCAGACACTACCCTGGTAATACCCTGACAGTACCCTGGTAATACCCCTTGGATACCCAGACAATATAAGCTGACCCCAGGAGCACCCCACTGCCAACATCCTACTCTGACAATACCATGACAGTGTCCACACCTGGCTACTGTGATCTCATGCTGACGCCGGTGTTCAGAGTGACATCCTCACATATCTTACTTACAGCTCTGTGGTGTGATACACTGTATAACATGCTATGTGAAATACTTGTGACTAACAGAAGCATGCTTGTGCAATAAATGGTATTTTTATGAAATACTGTTATGTTTTGTAACTACTAACGTGTGTTAACACTATGTTTGTGTCTTGACTTGATTATTGGTTTTACTTCATCCTCGGCAACCAGGGGCGGAATATGTTCCTCCTCACTCCTCCTCGCTCCTCCTTTCTTCTCCGTTGTCACATTGTGATAATAACCGTCATCCTGAGAACGTCAGTACAAACACATGTTGAAGAAATTCCCACCTTTCTTGTCAGCAGGCACAAAGGCAAGAATTCTAGAACCTTTTGGGTTACAAAGAATTAAGGTAGTTGAAGATTATTTCTGATAAGGGTCTTTGGAAGTCACCTGTAACTAATATGTTGAAGGTTACCTGTAATTAATATGGTTGAAGGTTACCAGTAATTAACATGGATGGAGGTCACCTGTAATTAACATGGTTGGAGGTCACCTGTAATTAAAATAGCTGAAGGTTACCTGTAATTAATTTGGTTGAAAGCCACCTGTATTCAATACGGTTGAAGGTTACTTGTAATTAATATGGCTGAAGGTTACCTGTAATTTATATGGTTTGACTTCACCTGTAATTAAGATAGCTAGAGGTTATCTACAGCTAAAATTGTTTGAGGTTTCCTAAAGTTATCGCCCAGGTGGAGGAAGACCAACATATTCCCCTGGATGTCTTTGAATGTCTGATAGAAATACATTCCTTCTTGTGTTCAGCATGCATTCCTACAAACATTCCTCCACACATTCCTACGTACATTCCTACATACATTCCTACGTACATTCCTACAAACATTCCTACGTACATTCCTACGGACATTCCTACATACATTCCTATGGACATTCCTACATACATTCCTATGGACATTCCTACATACATTCCTACGTACATTCCTACATACATTCCTACGTACATTCCTACATACATTCCTACGTACATTCCTACATACATTCCTACGTACATTCCTACAAACATTCCTACGGACATTCCTACATACATTCCTACGGACATTCCTACATACATTCCTACATACATTCCTACAAACATACATATTCAGTAAGACATGCAGTGAGAGCTGGTAATGTATTGAGAGGTTAGTGGAAATAGCGTGTGATAACCAGGACTTGTGGAGCTGTCTGCCTTTGCTGCCATTATCTGCTTCACACCCAGCAATCATGTGGAGGTGTTCATAGCATCGACCACTAGTTTGCCACAACTCTTGTGTGTAACGTGTAAGTCTATTTCAACCTGAAACCCCCCACATGGGTACAATGTGTGAAGCCCATTTCAGGTGTCCCCCGCCTTGATATTGCTGGAATATTGCTGGAATATTGCTAAAAGCGGCGTAAAGCCCTACTCACTCACTCACTCTGAAACCAACACAGGACATTTGTTTTCAAGTATCTCTTGCAGGACACTGAATGTAACACTATATTTCATTTCATATTTCGTAACTTAAAACTGAATCATTAGTTAAAAGTTTAAATTTTGAATTAATTTGCGTAGATAGAAATAGACAATATGCTTTGCAAAACCCACACCACAGGTAGCATCTGAGGATGTAGACAAGGTAAATATTGTTTTCATTTCTCACCTCCAAATAAACCAATCAGCTTTCACAACACAAGCAGCACTTTGTGTTACATAATGTCATTGGTCAGTCCACGTGCACAAACCATGAACAGCTTGGTGCTATATTCAAATACCATTTGCATGACAACTGTCATTACTTGCCATCTTGCATCTTGATGTCTAGCATCTTCAAAGTGCCCTTTTATTAGTTCTAATAATTCTCAATTATTGTTATTTTTTAGATCTGTTTATTAATCTTTTTTATTTTCATTTGTTGCTTTGTGGCAAGTTTGTACCTGTTGTTTTTTTTACTGCTTGTATGTCTAGTTGATAGGGTAATATTAGATTTGAGTCAGCATCTTCTCAAACAGTAAGCATGCCATGTCAGTGATTTAATGAAGCTTGTTTATAAACTGTTGATGTATCTGCTCTAAGGTTTAATGATCTGACGCCTTGCTTAAAGTGCTTTACTGAGTTTGTATGTAGACTGTTAATATCATGTCAATATCATGTCAATATCATGTCAATATCAGCTCATGCCCTGTATGTTTTATTCCATGCCTACCAGGAGCCAGTAGTGCCTATTATTAAGGTAGATAGTCCAGGCAGATTAACACTCGTTACATGTCACTTTCAAACAGCAGGGCTCAGGAAGGGAGATAACTCTGACACAACTGTCAGATCACTTCATTCTTTAAACAAGGGAAATAACTCAACATGTAGGTCTTTCAAAACCGTAGACAAGGTAGATAACTCATTACTCGGTGGTTAACAAACTTTGGAATGGCAAGATCACCCAGTATACAATACTGGTACAACGTTATGGACAAGGGAGGTAATCCAGTCTGTGGCAGTTGCACAACCTTCTTTGCATCCTGTATAGAAAGGGGAGATAATGACATCTATCTTGTTAACCTTCTGTGTTGATGAGTGGACTGCTGTTTGGAAGTGTAATGGGCCAGCTACCGTATGATTGCACATGTTCACAGGATTCGGAATGAAACACTTTTCCTGACAACATTGTATAATATTTTCACATATTTTTTTCATTTCTCCATCCATTTAATTATTCAAATTCCGTTGCTAGTAGTAGTTGTTGCAACAACTTTACACAACCAGTTTAAAGTTTTGATATTTTGCAATTATTTGTGTTCTGTTGTGTGGACTGCATGCAGCTCAATGAGACACACCTGCTAGGGAGCTTGAGCACCCAAACCTAGCACAGTTACGTCTGTAGGTTTAGTGACTGGGAGAAGTAGCTGTTTTGTAGTTATAGAGTTCTGTTTGTCAGAGACGTGTGAAGATCCAGGTTAGAATTGGTCTTCAGTAACCATGCTTGCCATAAGAGGCGACTAACGGGATCGGGTGGTCAGGCTCGCCGACTTGGTTGACACATGTCATCGTATCCCAGTTACATAGAACAATGCTCATGCTGTTGATCACTGGATTGTCTGGTCCAGACTTGATTATTTACAGACCTCCTCAATATAGCTGGAATATTGCTGTGTGTGGTGTTAAAAAAACTAACCAACTGTTTGTCAGACAAAAAATATTTATAATACAGTCAAATCCCGATGAGTCGAATGCCGGTGTCTTGAATATTATGCATAACTCGAAGTACCTGTCTGTCCCGACCATTCCCTGTTATAATTGTCATCATTTGAATATCGGTTACACGAATTCGTCTCATAAATACACACGATGACTCGAGAAGGAAATTTGGTCCCATGAGATTCAAACAACAGCAATCTTGTATACATAAGCCGAAGTCAGTCAATGAGAAGTTGATTGGTGTAGCAAACTGATCCAATTAACAAACCAGTGCGGCTCACACCTTTCCGCCATTGACGGGTGAGTTCAAAAGGCAGATTAGTGATTTTACGGAAATCCCTGTCTGTGCTAATCAGACTGGAACTGATAAGGTGTCCCTATTAGTGATAGGGAAATCATTAGGTAAACAAATGCTTAGGTGGAGGAATTAGGACTGGATCATCTTTTTTTCTGCCCTCATAGACATACCGATAAGTCGAATGTATTACTTGGTCCCCAGCGATTCGACTCATCGGGATTGGACTGTATTCATCAGCATGTTTGAGATAATTTCTTAAGCGATTTGTATACTTCTTTTGTTATACTAATGCATCAAAAAGTGTTTTATTTATTATCTACAATGATCCTTAATCTGTCCAATGAGATGTCACCGTAAGTGAAGGGATCTCAACCATCTAAGAAGTGATCTCTTTGAAGCAAATAAAATATCATTGACTGCCAGGATAATCCTCAGACCCTTGACTGCAGAGGATGGTTTCAGTCAGAGAGTAAAACCCCTGTAAAGGTTTTATTGTCCCTGTCCTGATGTTTTCATGTTTTTGGTTTCAGACTATAGAGAGTTCTCCCACGGAGGAGGGGGGTGACATCACCGTTACCAGCGCCCCCCCAGAGAAGGCTGTTGAGAAAGGTTGGGCCGTTATGTTACTTAGTTGAGAATCACTGTGTTACCTCAGATGTATTATCTCCGATCTATTATCTCAGATGTATTATCTCTGACCTCTTATCTCAGATGTATTATCTCCGACCTCTTATCTCAGATCTATTTTCTCCGACCTCTTATCTCAGATGTATTATCTCCGACCTCTTATCTCAGATCTATTATATCCGACCTCTTATCTCAGATCTATTATCTCAGACCCGTTATCTCAGATCTGTTATATCCGACCTCTTATCTCAGATCTATTATCTCAGACCCGTTATCTCAGATGTATTATTTCCGACCTCTTATCTCATATTAGTGATTGTTTCTGTGTGATTTTCAAATGTAATACATTGATAGTAGGGAATTATTGGAATGTGGGATGTCGATCAACTGAGGGAAATTAATTTTCTGTGTGAAGTTGACAGAATGTGTGATGTGTAGTGTATCTTGATCAGAAGTATCGATACAGACCTGCAGCCCCAAACTATCTTCACACATGCTGACTTGAGGTGGAGGTGCTCCAGTCTGTGTGTAGTGCCTCTTTATACATGCTGACTTGAGGTGGAGGTGCTCCAGTCTGTGTGTAGTGCCTCTTTATACATGCTGACTTCAGGTGGAGGTGCTCCAGTCTGTGTGTAGTGCCTCTTTATACATGCTGACTTGAGGTAGAGGTGCTCCAGCCTTTATCAATCATATTTTGAGAAATAAATCAAAACCAGAAATTCAAAAAATTATAAATGTGGACCTAACAGACATTTCACTTGCAGTCCTGGAAGCAGATGTCCTATGCATGACCATAATACCATCATTTCCCAGAATAGTATAAACACACAACAGTTGTGTTGTTGTCACACTTTAACATCTGTTGATGCCATATTTGGTATTACTGTATTTGAAAATACATTATGTACCATAAGTTTATGCAAAGCTGAATGTCTTTATCTTGAGTATTAAATACATCAAAGTTTGAAAGTACTACTTCATGACCTGAAAGTTTGTCGTGTTTATTAAAGTTCTTTCACCTTTAACAAGTTTCAGATTTGAAATATTCTGATATTCTCCATCCCTCTCTCTGCTGATGTTGCCATCTGTAATTTTCTCCCATCTCTGATCGATCATTAATGACTGGCCACCGTCACGTCACGCCTTTATACAGGAACCTTGTCTCAGGCTATTTATAGCTTAGTTCAAATATGCTGAATCTGCACTTTGGTTTATTTTTGAAAAACATGCATTTGTTCAGTTTTAGAATGAGACTTTGTGTGTTAAGATTTGCCCCTGAGTTTTGTGGTTGAGATTAACGGTGGTGTTGCTGGCGGAGATTAACGGTGGTGTTGCTGGCGGAGATTAACGGTGGTGTTGCTGGCGGAGATTAACGGTGGTGTTTTCGGTCCACAGTGCCCCCCGTTCTGCAGGTGTCGGGCTCTATGCTCCCGGTCACACCACTCTGCCACACGTTCAGGCAGCTGTGAGTCTCTTCTGTCGCGTAGTAGCTGTACACGTTGTAGTTGTTACTCTGGTTGCGGGAGGTGCTGCTTGTTTTCTGAATAGACAATCCGTAAATTACCATCCAGTACGATAGCACTGCTGGTAACATGTAAAACAAATCAAAACTGAACACAGAGCAAACGCTGGTTGACGAATCATGTCCGGCAAAGCAGTTTGGTTGTCTCCCTTTCTCTTGACAGGATCTTACTTTCTGGACTTGAATAATGATTAACCCTGATCATGATGATGAGTTTCACAGACTTGTAGACATCAAGGTCTCTCATCACTTATCAAAATACTGTCCAAAACAGTGTTAGTCCATACTCACTTACTCAAATAAAACTGCAGAGTGAACTTCGAAATGTCAAAACTTTCAGTGAAATCTTTATTCCTTTGAATGTATTAGATGTTACGCTATATATATTGTAGGTTATTGTCATTATAGTTAGACCGAGTATCTTACCACACTAAAGCCAGTCCAGATAAATGCCTGTTTACATTCAGAAAACCAGCACACCGTCTGCCATCAGTCATCCAAAATAACATTCTAAAACATTGTTGAAGGCAGCAGCTTACGCCCCTCTCATTCCACAATCCACCTCTTGCAGAAAAGAAGAAAAGCTCGTTTGGGGAAGCGATAAGGAAGCGTTTTGGTCGCAAGAAGCGATCGCAAAGTGCTGATCGTGCTGCGTCCAGTTTGAAAGAAGGCGCGAACTATCTCCGCCCCCCTGAGCAAACCTACGGCCCTCAATCTAAAGGTTCCTATCTGAGCTCCACACCCCGCGAACCCCATCACACTCCGCCACAGGCATCGTCATGGCTACTCCCAGCCTGACCCTTATACCTGCTAATGTGAAGAAGTTTGGGAGCCATCTTGAATTTTCACCTCAGTTCTTTAAGACGTTTTACAATCATCATCATCATCGAAATGAAATATTCGGATTTAAGTCATTAACATTATTCCATAATAACATGTTTGTACAACAAACTATTATTTATATGCTTAAATATGCTAAGAAATATCAAAATTGAATAAATTTTATATGGATTGCCGTTTGCTATGGCGACGACAGTGGAATAGTGTGATGTGGGCAGTATCAGGGTGTGGTGCTTCCACCATCCGGTGTCCGTCCATGCGTTGTCCGATTGTTGCTGTGGCTTTCTCTCCCGGCACTGACCACTCATCATCTATCATTGCTGACTGACCGCTGCAGGGGACACACGATGCCAGACAGTCAACTTCAAAAATGTATCACTCCATTACAAAATTTATATTGTCAAGTTACACAGATTTATTTGTAACTTACAAATAGATTTGTTTCTCAAAAAGACAAATGTATTTGTCATGTACTTAAGATAATTATCTGATATACATTTTCACTGCATTATTTATGGACCAAAAATATACTTTTTCCACTTCCAAACACCTGACAGGAAACTTTGAGTATATCTACTATGTTATACATTATTTTTTTTCAATTTTATACCTTTTAGGAATTATTTGAACTTGAAGGTGTATTCATTATCTAGTAATGTTCTGCAGTGATTTTGAAGCTGAGGCAAAATATGGAAACATAATTATTCCAATATTTACATTATTTGGTATTTACCATTTGACTGTTTGTAACTCGATATTGTTCAACCGCTGTGTGTTCTCCTGTGACGGTTCCAGCCAAGGAGTGTAAACCATTAGCAGACATATAATCATTGGTTGGTTTCCTTCTTTTCTGCAGTAGTTATCTCCCCTTGACGCAGACTTTAGTAGGCTTGTGTTTAGCGGTAGCATCTTCTGATTGGTTCCTTGTTTTAAGCAGCAACGTTTGAGCATTCGTAGCTGTTTTGCGACACTAGAACTTTGAGTGGTCATTCATCGTTGTTTGTAGAATATGTTGTTTGTAGAATATGTTGTTTTAAGTGGCCCAAGTAAGCATGGCGTTTCTGTTGTTGTAGTCATCATCCATCATGACTGTGCAAACAGATTCATTTAAAATATCTCACCCTCAAGTCTTCTTCAGTGAACCTTTTTGCAGAATGTTTCAAAATCAGAAAGACCGCAGCCCTTGTCAGAACATCTCAGATAGAACACAACCTTTGTCAGAATACTTGAGATAGAACGCAACCTTTGTTGGAATACATCATATAGAACACAACCCTTGTTGGAATACCTCATATAGAACACAACCCTTGTTGGAATACCTCAGATAGAACACATCCCTTGTTGGAATACCTCAGATAAGACACACCCCTTGTTGGAATACCCTAGACAAGGCACACCCCTTTTGCAATACCTTAGATAAGACACACCTCTTGTTGGAATACCTTAGATAAGACACACCCCTTGTTGGAATACCTTAGACAAGGCACACCCCTTTTGCAATACCTTAGATAAGACACACCTCTTGTTGGAATACCTTAGATAAGACACACCCCTTGTTGGAATACCTTAGACAAGGCACACCCCTTGTTGGAATACCTTAGACAAGACACACCCCTTGTTGGAATACCTTAGACAAGACACACCCCTTGTTGGAATACCTTAGACAAGACACACCCCTTGTTGGAATACCTTAGACAAGACACAACCCTTGTTGGAACACCTTAGATAAGACACACCCCTTGTTGGAATACCTTAGACAAGACACACCCCTTGTTGGAATACCTTAGACAAGACACACCCCTTGTTGGAATACCTTAGATAAGACACAACCCTTGTTGGAATACCTTAGACAAGGCACAACCCTTGTTGGAATACCTTAGACAAGGCACACTCCTTGTTGGAATACCTTAGACAAGACACACCCCTTGTTGGAATACCTTAGACAAGACACACCCCTTGTTGGAATACCTTAGACAAGACACACCCCTTGTTGGAATACCTAAGATAAGACACACCCCTTGTTGGAATACCTTAGACATGGCACACCCCTTGTTGGAATACCTTAGACAAGACACACCCCTTGTTGGAATACCTTAGACAAGACACAACCCTTGTTGGAATACCTTAGACAAGACACACCCCTTGTTGGAATACCTAAGATAAGACACACCCCTTGTTGGAATACCTTAGATAAGACACACCCCTTGTTGGAATACCTTAGACAAGACACCACCCTTGTCAGAATATCTCAGATAAGACACACCCCTTTTGCAATACCTTAGACAAGACACGCCCCTTGTTGGAATACCTCAGATAAGACACACCCCTTGTTGGAATACCTTAGACAAGGCACACCCCTTGTTGGAATACCTTAGATAAGACACACCCCTTGTTGGAATACCTTAGATAAGACACACCCCTTGTTGGAATACCTTAGATAAGACACACCCCTTGTTGGAATACCTTAGATAAGACACGCCCCTTGTTGGAATACCTCAGATAAGACACACCCCTTGTTGGAATACCTTAGACAAGGCACACCCCTTGTTGGAATACCTTAGATAAGACACACCCATGTTGGAATACCTTAGATAAGACACACCCCTTGTTGGAATACCTTAGACAAGACACCACCCTTGTCAGAATATCTCAGATAAGACACACCCCTTTTGCAATACCTTAGACAAGACACGCCCCTTGTTGGAATACCTCAGATAAGACACACCCCTTGTTGGAATACCTTAGATAAGACACACCCCTTGTTGGAATACCTTAGATAAGACACACCCCTTGTTGGAATACCTTAGATAAGACACGCCCCTTGTTGGAATACCTCAGATAAGACACACCCCTTGTTGGAACACCTTAGACAAGGCACACCCCTTGTTGGAATACCTTAGATAAAACACACCCCTTGTTGGAATACCTTAGATAAGACACACCCCTTGTTGGAATACCTTAGACAAGACACCACCCTTGTCAGAATATCTCAGATAAGACACACCCCTTTTGCAATACCTTAGACAAGACACGCCCCTTGTTGGAATACCTGAGATAAGACACACCCCTTGTTGGAATACCTTAGATGAGACACACCCCTTGTTGGAATACCTTAGATAAGACACGCCCCTTGTTGGAATACCTCAGATAAGACACACCCCTTGTTGGAATACCTTAGACAAGACACACCCCTTGTTGGAATACCTTAGACAAGGCACACCCCTTGTTGGAATACCTTAGATAAGACACACCCCTTGTTGGAATACCTTAGATAAGACACACCCCTTGTTGGAATACCTTAGATAAGACACAACCCTTGTTGGAATACCTTAGATAAGACACGCCCCTTGTTGGAATACCTCAGATAAGACACACCCCTTGTTGGAATACCTTATACAAGGCACACCCCTTGTTGGAATACCTTAGATAAGACACACCCCTTGTTGGAATACCTTAGATAAGACACACCCCTTGTTGGAATACCTCAGATAAGACACGCCCCTTGTTGGAATACCTTAGATAAGACACACCCCTTGTTGGAATACCTTAGACAAGGCACACCCCTTGTTGGAATACCTTAGATAAGATACACCCCTTGTTGGAATACCTTAGATAAGACACACCCCTTGTTGGAATACCTTAGATAAGACACACCCCTTGTTGGAATACCTCAGATAAGACACACACCCCTTGTTGGAAATACCTTAGATAAGACCACACACCCCTTGTTGGAATACCTTAGACAAGACACACACCCCTTGTTGGAATACCTTAGACAAGACACACCCCTTGTTGGAATACCTTAGACAAGACACACCCCTTGTTGGAATACCTTAGATAAGACACACCCCTTGTTGGAATACCTTAGATAAGACACACCCCTTGTTGGAATACCTTAGATAAGACACACCCCTTGTTGGAATACCTTAGACAAGACACACCCCTTGTTGGAATACCTTAGATAAGACACACCCCTTGTTGGAATACCTTAGATAAGACACACCCCTTGTTGGAATACCTTAGATAAGACACACCCCTTGTTGGAATACCTTAGATAAGACACACCCCTTGTTGGAATACCTTAGATAAGACACACCCCTTGTTGGAATAAGATAACACACCCCTTGTTGGAATACCTTAGATAAGACACACCCCTTGTTGGAATACCTAGATAAGACCCTTGTTGGAATACCTTAGATAAGACACACCCCTTGTTGGGAATACCTTAGATAAGAGACACACCCCTTGTTGGAATACCTTAGATAAGACACACCCCTTGTTGGGAATACCTTAGATAAGACACACACCCCTTGTTGGAATACCTTAGATTAAGACACACCCCTTGTTGAAATACCTTAGATAAGACACACCCCTTGTTGGAATACCTTAGATAAAATACCTTAGATAAGACACACCCCTTGTTGGAATACCTTAGATAAGACACACCCCTTGTTGGAATACCTTAGATAAGACACACCCCTTGTTGGAATACCTTAGATAAGACACACCCCTTGTTGGAATACCTTAGATAAGACACACCCCTTGTTGGAATACCTTGTTGGAATACCTTAGACACACACCACTTGTTGGAATACCTTAGATAAGACACACCCCTTGTTGGAATACCTTAGATAAGACACACCCCTTGTTGGAATACCTTAGATAAGACACACCCCCTTGTTGGAATACCTTAGATAAGACACACCCCTTGTTGGAATACCTTACCCCTTGTTGGAATACCTTAGATAAGACACACCCCTTGTTGGAATACCTTAGATAAGACACACCCCTTGTTGGAATACCTTAGATAAGACACCCCTTGTTGGAATACCTTAGATAAGACACACCCCTTGTTGGAATACCTTAGATAAGACACACCCCTTGTTGGAATACCTTAGATACCCCTTGTTGGAATACCTTAGATAAGACACACCCCTTGTTGGAATACCTTAGATAAGACACACCCCTTGTTGGAATACCTTAGATAAGACACACCCCTTGTTGGAATACCTTAGATAAGACATCTCATGTATGCACCTGACCATGATCTATATTCCATATTTCTCCTCTATTTCTCCCCCTATTTCTCTGCATTGTTTCTCCTCATGTTCCCATCTTCCACAACCATGTTTGTCATTTTCATCAGTCCTGTTTGTTAATTCAGATTTGTTGCAATTTTTATTTGCAGATTTTGCTGTGTGAGTTTTGATTTCAGGTTTTTATTGCTAGCTAGTGACAAAAACATTTGTACTTAAACAAACTGACTTGTCTTCAAGCAGATTTCAGAAAAAATGATTCTCTGGTGAAATCTTTGAAATTAGAGAAAAAGGTGTTGCCACAAGGAAAAAAACAGGATGTATGTGACATATTACCCATGAGTCTATGTTGTTTAACAAATTATGTTTGTGTATGCAACAAATATAAAACCCTAGAAGATCCGGGTTAGAGTTGGTCTTCAGCAACCCATGATGTCAAGGACTAGATAAGTCCAGGCTTATTATATATAGACATTGTTATATGGCTGGAAGATTGGTGAGTGTGACGTTTAAAGACAAACAAACATATTTCATTCAAAGTATCAAATAAGGAAATTATCTTATATCTTATTTTGATGACAAATGATTCAAGCTTAAACAGTAGAGTTACCCACCCTTGATGTTACAGTGAAAAGTTACCCACCCTTGGTGTCACAATCAAGGGTTACCCACGCTTGAAGTCACAAACAAGAGTTAGCCACCCTTGAGGTCACAATCAAGAGTTACCCACCCTTGGTGTCACAATCAAGAGTTACCCACCCTTGGTGTCACAATCAAGAGTTACCCACCCTTGGCGTCACAATTAAGACTTACCCACCCTTGAAGTCACAAACAAGAGTTACCCACCCTTGGTGTCACAATCAAGAGTTACCCACCCTTGAAGTCACAAACAAGAGTTCAAGAGAGTTACCCACCCACCCACCCTTGAAGTCACAATCAAGAGTTACCCACTTGGTGTCCAATTGGAAGTCACAATTAAGACTTACCCACCCTTGAAGTCACAATCAAGAGTTACCCACCCTTGGTGTCACAATCAAGAGTTACCCACCCTTGAAGCCACAATCAAGAGTTACCCACCCTTGAAGTCACAATCAAGAGTTACCCACCCTTGAAGTCACAATCAAGAGTTACCCACCCTTGAAGTAAGTAACAATCTAGAGTTACCCACCCATGGTGAAAACAACAAGGGTTTCCTTTCCATGACATCATTTTTCAAATTTTCAAATGTCTGAGGAGAAATCCCAGAATTCCAATGGAATCCCTGTAAGTCCTGAAGGGATTGCCTATAAACTTTACCTCACGCTAATGTTGTCTCTGATAACTGAACCTGCTTGAGAAAGAAACAGCTAAATCAATTTGTTCTGATAAACACTGATTAGTCACAATAAATGCTCTACAGTCAAACACCGCTGTATCAAACACTGACTTGTTATGTCTCTACAGTCAAACACCGCTGTATCAAACACTTTCCGAGCATCACAATCATCTCCACTGCACTGAGTGTTGTGTGTTGAGGCCGATTGTCTTGTGTGTTACACTCAGTCACACCAAACTTGTCAGAATTGATCAACTGATGTTTCCATCAGGGACTAACAGGTCAACAAGCGCAGAATCGGATGGAATCATGTGATTGTCATGTGTTTATCTCTTTAATACAAATTACAGATGAGGACTTGCCTTCAGAATGAAAACATAAGGACATTCACGGAATTGTCACTCAACACAACCCACTATTACCAATATAAAAAAAACAACATAACCTGGAAAAGAAAAGGAAAAACAGCAAAAAACACTCAACAAATACCAAGCTAACTGACTGACTGAGTTTAGTTTTATGCCGCTTTTAGCAATATTCCAGCAATATCACGGCGGGGGAAACCGGAAATGGGCTTCAAACATTGTACCCATGTGGGGAATCGAACCCGGGTCTTCGGCGTGACTAGCCAATGATTTAACCACTAGGCTACCCCACCGCCCCACCAAGCTAACGGCCCCGTATTTCCGCTTTAGTTGTTTTCATTCTTTGATAACTGGAAGTATGACGTAGTTCCCTTCGGCCTCCACCCAGCGCTGACTGACTATCTATCTTGTGGTGCCAATTTATAATGGCTATTGTGAATATTTTTTTTTACAAAATTAAAAAAAATCTACGTACTCAGTATGAAGTCCAGATGAACATCTGCAAGACCTTACCAGGGAAGTTAGAATGGCACTTACATGTTGTGGAACACAAAAAACTTGTGGTGCACACGTTCACTCATTTTTTCTGATTCTGCTAAAAATTCCCCTGGATGTTGCCAGCATGTTGTGTTTGTTTCCACGTTGTCATGGTTACCATTAACCTGTGCTCGGGTAAGCTGAAGAGCAAAGTGCCAGTTTGTTTTGACTTCAGTACGTCTGTACATAGAGCCATAATACAGATGATGCTTTGTTTCTGAGTAAAGTAAAGTTTCCATTTCAGATTTGATGAAATAATATCACAAGTTTAAAACCTTTTTCGCTTGATCCTTCTTTTTACGGTAAAGTGTTTTCTTTCAGAAAGTACTTAAATGGTGTTTTGCTTTAATGTTATAATTGTTACAGAAATCGTGAAGAATACTGACACCGATATTGTTGTGTTCGCAGATGATATGGAACTCGTGCGGTCCCAGGATCCATCGAAATCACCCAACTTGAAGAAGTCCCGCTCACTAGGTGGTAGCTTAAAGAAACTGTTCCGGCGTAGTAGAAAACGGTCGAAGTCTCGAGGAGAATCATCACGAGATAGCTCTTTTTCAAGGTCATCTGATCGCCGAGGAGGTTCTCAAAATCCTTCCAGGGATAGTTCGTTAAACAGACATTCAGCACATCAAAGGGCTGCGTCTACTTCTTGAAACCACACCCCCTCCAAATCTAATTTTAAAATTAATATATTTTGTACAAAAAAAGGAATTAACGCTAAGCACAAATCGGCTGCATGACCTTTCACGAATGCTGTTATGGGTTTTCAACAGCCTTGACCTCAGAGGTTCAAGGTCATATTTTCAAGGTGATCCTTACATCTCTTCTCGACCTTGAATAACATTTAATGTGATGTTCCCAATGACCTCTATGTGCTCAAACGACCTTTAAGGTCATTTGCATAACTATCTGGTCATGTGTTCATGGAAACTAATATCATATCACTTAATCCTGTTTGTGATCAGACATGCACTATGTAACAGTGTTCGTGATGGGTCATGCACCATGTAACAGTATTTCTGATTGGTCATGAACCGTGAAACAGTGTTTCTGATTGGTCATTTGCCAGGAAGCCTCTTGTAGATGTGTGGAAATAATCTGTACAGACTGTCCTATGTATAAGTACAGTTTTGTGGCTACAGTGTAACTGCTCTTGCAATCAGTTGCGGCCATATTTAAATATAGTCCTGGGCACACAAAGTTTTGCCTCTGAAACACTAGCTTTCCTTCAGACTTAAATATGCTGACAAATATGCAAAATATGATTTGACAGACTTTTCAAACTGAGTTTTATCTTCAAACCTGAATATTGTGAAGTATATGTGTCAGTGATGGTGGCTATGCAGTGATGTCCGAGCGAAGCGGCACCTGCAATATCCGTTTTAACAAAATATACAACTATAAGACCTTTCTGTCTGCGAAGTTTATCAGGGTACGTCTCTGACAGATGTTAGTGAGTTGATGTCATGACTAGTTACAGGAGTGTGTTAGTAGATGTAGGTGTCCTGACAACTAGTTATATGTGTGAGTAGATGTAGGTGTCCTGACAACTAGTTATATGTGTGAGCAGTTGTAGCATCCAGACAACTAGTTACATATGTGTGAGCAGATGTAGCATCCAGACAACTAGTTACATATGTGTGAGCAGATGTAGCATCCAGACAACTAGTTACATATGTGTGAGCAGATGTAGCATCCAGACAACTAGTTACATATGTGTGAGCAGATGTAGCATCCAGACAACTAGTTACATATGTGTGTCACTAGATGTAGGTGTCCTGACAACTAGTCATTGACATTTCAGAGTACAAGTGAAATAATGGGTAATTCTGATTACCAAGGGAGCCTGACAATTTTGGGGTCAACACACATCTTATGTTGCAATCAGTAGTGGACAAGCATGGACCCATACTGACCACTGAAGGCGAGGTACTGTCAGACAGATTGATAGCATTACTACCACAATATTCAGGCTTTGGGGTACCTATCCTTGTATCTGTTAGCAGAAAGTCGTCATCCTTCACGTCGCCCTCACTCATGTCGCCCTCACTGTTGTGTTGTCGATGTTGCTGTGGTGTTGCTGTAGTTGTGTGGGCATCTCATTTTGCTGACGATCTGATTCACCACAATGTTGCAGATACTAAGAGCTGTGTTATCCAGACCTGTTATCAGTTGATGTACTTTACTGCAAAATGTTGAGAACATTGTTATTTATTAACACTACAAGCAGCTGATACAGCTACAGTGGCGTCCCTGATGTGGGCAGTTTTAACATTTTCTGAAGTAGCTTTTATGTTAAAACATTGTTTTTTCTGCAATAGCTGTTATTGCCAGTAATATCATTGTTATTTTCTGCTACATCAGTAATATTACTTTCTGCAAGGGGCAGTAATAACATTGTTATTTTCTGCAAGGGCAGTAATAACATTGTTATTTTCTGCTAGATCAGTGATATTACTTTCTGCAAGGACAGTAATAACATTATTTTCTGCTACATCAGTAATATTACTTTCTGCAAGGGCAGTAATAACATTATTTTCTGCTGCATCAGTAATATTACTTTCTGCAAGGGCAGTAATAACATTGTTACTTTCTGCTACATCAGTAATATTACTTTCTGCAAGGGCAGTAAGAACATTGTTATTTTCTGCTAGATCAGTAATATTACTTTCTGCAAGGGCAGTAATAACATTGTTATTTTCTGCTAGATCAGTAATATTACTTTCTGCAAGGGCAGTAATAACATTGTTATTTTGTACATTAGCTGTTATTGTTAGTTATAACATTGTTATTATCTGAAGTAGCTTTTATCGTAATAACATTGTTATTTTCTGCAATGGCAGTTACTGGAAGTAATAACAGTGTTGTTTTCTGCAATGGCAGTTACTGGAAGTAATAACATTGTTATTTTCTGCAATGGCAGTTACTGGAAGTAATAACAGTGTTATTTTCTTCTGGAGATGTTTCTACATAAGCAGGGATAAGCACCATCTACTGAGAGGTCAGTGAAGCATGGCGGTGCCAAGTCCCTGGTTGTCTTGAAGCGCTGTACAAGAACCCTGGAAGGTGTTTTGACAATATCTGCTTTAGTCTCATTTTTATTAAACTGTAATGCATGACGCCAGTATTGAACCAATTCTAGTCAGTCAGTCAGTATTTTAAACCATACAAGAAAAAGAGCTGAACAAATTTTGCCGGTTGAGTGAGGTTCAAGGAAATGGGTGATTTTGTGGCCGAAGTTCAATAAGTGTTGGTCCCATGCTACCCGCGTTTCCTACATTCGATCCCAAAAGTCACCATTCATAGCGTGTCATCGTCTTTCTCGTGACAGTCTGGGAACATAACAGAAATGCATTCTTGTAGAAAATTGAAATTTTGGACTTCAACTTTGGAATTTCTTTGTATTCTACTAACTTTTAAATATCAACCAGTCACTTCTACACAAAAGGTTTTACTAAAGTTTAAATGATTAAATTTTGATTCTCTGATTGTAGAACATTTTGGCATTTGATTCTGTGTGGAAATGATTTGAAGACATAGACATGCGATGCTGTACGAGTGTGAGATGAGAGGCTGTCGGAAGGTCCGTCTGTGGTGTGAGGGGTCTACCCACGATTTGACCACTGTGTTCAAATGCTCAATTTTGATTTTTACGCTTTTGGAATTGTGCAGTTCTCTGTGTTGGTTTTTTTATCCTTTTTTTAAAATCTAGAATAGCATGAATGGCAAGCTAGTTTCCTCACAATCTGGTTTCCCACAGAAAACGCATAATGTCTGATATAAACCAGGAGATTCCAGTTCGGAATAACCATCGCCCACAACTTGCAGAAACAAGTCACCATTCTGTTTCCTAGGTAACCATTTCGTTTGATGTTAGTTGGACATTGTGTTCAGTTCTACAGGAAACGGGACTGTGAAAACTTGCTTGTTAAGCTCTTTTTTATGAATTTTACTTTACTTTTGAATGTTGTGTGAAATGGAAGAAATGTCCTTGTCACAGGAAGAGAGTAGTTTATGATTTAATCAGTGAGAAATACGTACATGAGACAGTATGAACAGCAACAGAAACTTGCTTCACCATTTATAAGTAAGACCGCTAGGTCGCATGTAATATACACATTATATTCTCCTGTTTTGGAAAGTTCAGATTTACATGTATCAATGTGTAAAGTTTTGAGGGAAAATGATAAAAAAAATAAGTAAGCAGTTTGTAAAATGACAATATTTACACAGGAAGTTGATTCTTTCATTCCATCAGGGGAGACAACTGGATCAGGGGAGACAACTCCAAACTGTATGACAGGGGCAACAACCCCATGTGATCATATCTTGCTGTCTGAACCAAATATTGCTGGTTACTGAAATCAGTTCAAAACGCGAGAATTATACAACAAATATTGAAACAAGTTAATTTCATTTTGAACATCTTTGGTCGAGGGAACGAGCAAGATTTTCATTTTGAAATGTCAGTATTACTGAAAGAAGACACAAGTGCAATATAGATAACCTGATGACCGTGTGATAATTATATTTATACCAGCGTAGTGGTCTAGATGGAATGCTTAATGTCCAGTTTGTACGGTCGTACTAGTGACAGTGTGATATTAATTATTGTAGATAGCTATTTTGTACAATATTGTTAAATGACTTTGTGACTTTTTTTGTATTCCTAAATGGCCGTGGATGTCTTGTGTGCACTGATCAGCCAACTTCTGCTTGACTCTGCTGCCTTTAACACTGATTGCTGGGAGTGTTGTCCATGACATTAATACATTAATGCTCATATGTTGAAGAATATTTTCAGAAGTGCAATATCAGTTTTGATTGAAAAAATATAAATTTTTAGATTTGAAATTTGAAAATCTACATCCTCCAAAGGTGATTGTCTGTGGAAATGCTGTTTGATAATATTGCAACATTTGGTCACATTTCTTACATTAAAAGGGAAATTAAAGTTTTAAAGTTAGAGAACCACCCTGTCACAGGATCTCTAAGAACCAATCTGTGGCCACGAAGCTGAACTTGCCCTTATGTTTTGTTAAATGCTTATAATTTCATGAAAATTAATCTATGCAAGAGGACGTAATCGTTTCCATAGCGACACTGAATATATTCTGCACCAATCGAACAGCAGCTGCCTGTTTAACATTCATAGATCAAAACTTTCTTTCGTCGAAGTGTCACTTCTTTGTAGAAAACACTTCACATTTTCGAAAGAAATATTTCTCCCTGTTACAAAAAAATAGCAAAATCCTCATTATTTGGCTTTTCGTGTTTTTCTGATCATGCCAGTGGTTGCCAGGGGTTGCCGGGTGTGGAACCAGCTGGTTGGTACTAGATTCTAGAGGCAACTAGATGCACCATGTGCTGTAGTCAAGAGTCCTGAGATCCTGGGGATCTTACGGGGAGTTTGTGGAGATCTAGGGGAGATTGTGTTGATCTAGGGGGAGAAGGTGGAGATCTAGGCAGAGATTTCAAAGATCTAAGATAAGATTACAGAGATCTAAAAGGGAATTCTGGAGATCTAAAATGTAAAAGATCTAAGGGAGATTGGAGACATCAAAGGGGAAATCTAAGATAACGTTGCAGAGATCTGAATGGAGATTGTTGAGATCTCTAAATATAAGCATGTGAAGGTCTAAGGTCTAAGGGAATATTCTGGAGCTATAAGAGATGTTGGTGGGAACATTATGGAAGTGTTGGAATCTAAGCAGACTTCTCAATGGACCACATCAGAGTTTCTGAAGTGATCTAGTGTAGTGGATTCTGTGAAGGTCTGATAGGGATTCTGTGATGTGAGATTTCCACGGTGTGGTGGAGGTCTGTGGGCAGTGTAACATCCGTCTGACAACAGTGCACATTAGAATAAAACTGTCGAAAAACAGTCTGCTTCTTGTTGTTTGTTTCCTGTAATGTGGACAGCAGAATCACAGCCCTCGGCTTTTGTCTGTGTACAAAACAATCTGCTTGTTCAAGATCTCAGATTAGAGTTACCTGACTTGTGACACACACTAGAATGATGCTGAACTAAATTCACTCAATAAAATTTCTCCAAAACAAACCCTCTAGTAAGCAAATTACACATTACACAACAAATCACACTATCCACTAATCACACTAACAACCAATCACACCAACAACCAATCACACCAACAACCAATCACACCAACAACCAATCACACCAACAACCAATCACACCAACAACCAATCACACTAACAACCAATCACACTTACAACCAATCGCTATATCCACAAATCACACAACCAATCACACCAACAGCCAATCACACTAACAACCAATCACACTAACAACCAATCACACCAACAACCAATCACACCAACAACCAATCACACCAACAACCAATCACACCAACAACCAATCACACTAACAACCAATCACACTAACAACCAATCACACCAACAACCAATCACACTAACAACCAATCACACTAACAACCAATCACACCAACAACCAATCACACCAACAACCAATCGCTATATCCACAAATCACACTAACAACCAATCGCTATATCCACAAATCACACCAACAACCAATCACACTAACAACCAGT